TGGGGTAAAAAGGTTGAGAAAGGCTGCTCTAGCTATCCAGAAGAAATTTTATATCTGGGTGTGGAGATCTATGCCTCTCCCTCTCCCGTCTTCCAACTGTGCAGTGAACGGTCTGTGGGGTAGGTCCTTAGCTCTCTGTAAGCTCTGATCCAATGTTGGGTTAGAATTGCACAGCAATTTTGTGCAGTCTCTAACTGGGAAACAAGGCAGCTTAGGTATGCATGGAGTAAAGTAAATAGTTTATACCCCCCCCTTAATAAAGCCAACTTGTTAGTTGTTATTACAAATATTTTGTTTTAAGTGTGCACAAGAGCTCTCCCTCCCAATATTTTTTATACTTATAAAGTTGATATCTGGTGGGGCTTCCGGATCTTGGGATATACAGAAAGCAGTTCTGCCCCTTTGCTCTTCATCACTCGTCCCCTGGTTAGGGAATGAGGAGGATGATCATAAACGGCAGCAGTATTAAAGGCAAACTGTAAATGGTTTTGTGTAACTTGTTCTGTCAGTTGTTTTACAAATAAGGATTTTTTAAAATGACCTTAAAATGAACTACGGCCGAACCTTTCCTGGTGTTAGTTCTCTTTTGGGTCACAAGAAGACATTTACTATTATCCTCCTGTGACCCAAAACTCAGCATATAGCGGCCCGCTATATGCTGACACCGCATAGTGGTGTTGCGACCAGGAAGCATCCCAACCATATTGTCATGATCCACCCCGCAACCTGACAGCTGGCTCACCTCTATAAAGCTACATAAGAAGATACAGTTTTGTTAATAGTTAAAGATACCTGAATGCATTTTTAAGATTTAACTCCTGAGTTTAGTGTCACTTTAAATGTCCTTAGCCTGGACACCTACCAGTCCTGATCTCTACTCCGACTCACTTTCTCTAGAAATGAATGTGTATTTCCACTTTTTGCAGTCAAATTTGAGAAAACTCCTCTATGTGTTCCTATTCACACAGCATAGCTAAAATATTTTTTCCAAAAATATTTTTTACCTTTTAGAGGTTTTGTTGCAGCTGGCAAAATGGCAGAATCAAAGTATAGAAAGACTTATGTCCCGTTATCTGGCATTCAATTAACCGGGGGGAAAAAAAAATTAAATCACAATAACTACAGTTATCTGGCCCTTATCAATCCCCATGGGTGGCGGATAACTAGGAATTTGCAGTGCACACTTCTAATTCGAATTGCGGGTGCCGCTGTTGGCACTTTTCTGACCGGCTTCCTTAAATAAGCTGTCAGATTCCTCAATTAATGCCTGTAAGCGTAAATAGAGGAATCTGTTCCATTTGCTTTATGCAGCCAGCAGGTTGAAAGAAGAAAATAGAAACGTTTATACCCAACTTTAGAACAGGAATGTGTTTCTCTCATTAACAAAACGCGCAAGCCAAGGTTGTAATCTTGAACCCTTTGTTAGGATAGGCAATGTTGAAATGTAATTTACAAATTATAATAGAATGAACCAGCAAAGCGCAGAGAGGGTTAACAAAAACCCTCACACCTACTCCTACCGTTATAGAGAAGGAGAAGAAAATAAACATTTTAGCAAGTAAAATTCAAATGTAAATCAGCAAAAGACATTTTTTTATTTTTTGCAACTCATGCAATGGGAATGGGAACCTTTAACAAATATAAATAAGGTGTTATCCCAATTTGGCTGCAAAAGTGGAAATACTTAGCATTTTTTTCAGCACTGATGATGAGCCATATAGGTCTAGGGTAGCCCATTTACTGTATAACAGTTTATAATTTCAGGTTAGAGATCAATAGTTCTAGAATAAAACATCCAAAAGAAAAAACTGTATTTACCATAAAGCTTTTTAATTCCTCTGAGCTTCTCAATGAGGTCACTAACTTTACTGGGTAAGCCATAGAAAGGTCCCAAGTCTATGCTGGAAGACATTTCTACTGTCTTTTTGGCAACATCAAGTTCTTCTAAAAGAATAGTTTCTTTTATTTGCCTAGTCCTCAAAACTTGCGGACTTTGCACTTTAGCATTCCCAGCCAATGTATTTTTAAGACTGTCCCTTAAACTCTTCCTTTTCACATCCTTTTGAGGCAAGATTGATGTTTTTTCTGGGCCTGCATCAACATCACCTTTGTTGAGGTGAGCTAAAGCATCAACATACAAGTCACTGTCATATATGGATTGTTTCATTGTAGTCCTTTCTGCATCTACACATTGATTTTCATTCTCATACTGAAGAAGCTGCGAGCAAGGAAGATCATATGGAAAATCATCTGTAAGTTCTTCCGATTCATCTTTCAGTTTTGGAGGCAACGTCATTTGCTTTATCTGCTGCGGATGTGGTTGTTTCCCTGACAATTTAGAACTTGTATTCAGTGCTAAAGTATAATTAGTTGTGTCCAGTCCAATTTCTGCAGAAGTGCAAGGGAAGGTACTTGCAGTCTCCTGCTTACATTTTTCCTCCATGTCTTCCACTGCTGCTAGCAAAGATGGATCTTCAGCAAAGCTGTCATATTCCCCAAACATGTCATCGTCACTATCACAGTCCTGCAAAGACACAGTTGAGAAATAGTTACTGCTCATATGTTCTAAGTGTTAATTTGATGTTGACATAAGGTATACAGCAAATTGAAATCCAGCATCACACGGCAAATTACTGCAGGGACATGTCATCGTCACTATCACAGTCCTGCAAAGACACAGTTGAGAAATAAAGATACTTAATTTTTACTAGGGATGCACCGATACCGAGTATTTGGGTGAGTACTCGTACTCGCCCAAATGCTCCGATACCTAGCACGAGTACTTCCTGTATCAGGAAGCCGGGCAGCGCATCATTACACGCTGCCCGGTTTCCTGGTTGGCCAGGAAATGGCTCCATGCTCTCTCGTCACTTGTGATGAGAGAGCATGGAGCCGACTTCCCGGCCAATCAGGAAGCCGCGCTACCCGGCTTCCCAATTGGTCAGGAAGCTAGTAAATCCGGAAGCCGGGCGCCGTGTAATGACGCAGCGCCCGGCATTCTGATTGGCCGGGAAGCCGGCAGCATTCTCCCTCGTCATCTCATGAATCATAATATTAAGAAAGTGACCTTAAAGCATTAGTTTGTATTGCTTTAGAAAAAATGTGACCTGTCCCTTTAAGAAAAAGTATCGGTAATTGGTATCTTGGCGAGTACTTGATCAAAAGTATCGGTACTCGTACTCGGTGTTAAAAAAGTGGTATCGGTGCATCCCTAATTTTACTGGTCACATGTTCTGATAAGTGTTAATTTGATGTTGTCATAAAGTATACAGCCGTTTTAATCCAGCATCACGGAGCAAATTACTGCAGGAACATGACATTACTGCAGGAACAAATATCTTTGTGATTTGTGCCATTCAAAAGTAATAAACATGAAACCCAGCAAAAAATAGAATATACAAATATAGAAAAGTCATCACTGCATTACAAACATAGCAGATATATTGGGAGTCACTCACCTGATTGGTCGAATACATGTTAGTTTCTTCTTTGTGGCAATAACCCACAGTGAGAGAATGAGATCTTGTTATCTCCTCTCTACTACTACTGGGCCTCTTTTTATCTGGAGTGAGAAGACTATGTCCTGAAGATAAACTCCTTTTCCGGACTGGTGCACGCCTCTGGACCCTTAGTCCATTACTTTCCATAATCATAATGGGATTATTGCCATGCTAAATACTTTTTGACTGCATATTTAATTTTAAATAAGTGATCCATAGGTAAAAATCTCCCTCAGTGTACTGTGGGTCCATCTATTCCCATATAGCAATACAATGTTTATATATGGCAAAACATTTTAATATCCATGTTAGAATTCAGGGAGATTAAGTCTTTTAATGTATCACAGTGTTTTAACTTTATCCAATTTGTATTTATTTCAGGAAGCACTAGCATCACACCTTAAAAAGAAAATAGAAATATATTTAATGGTCAATAAAAAAAATAATATATACAAAACAGATGGTCATAAAATAAGTGGAATAATGGCAATAATAAATACATTACTGTGCATTGGCAATGTGGTCATGCATGGGTAGATTTTTCATCAAGTACAGCGCAAAGTCTGTTTGCCTGTTGCTCATTATGGCCACAGCAGGAATACAGACCCAGGAACTCAAGAGTCCAGGTCTGACCAATATATTGGTAGGCGGTCTTGAACCACTTGGTTGTTTCCACAACCAAAACTGTTGAAATTGAAAATTCCCTTATGGGGAGCATTAAAATTACAAGAATAAAAAGCTGCTGATAGAGGGGTGGGACCTCAGCCCAATCAGATGCTGATATGTAAACTAATATTGTAGGGCTGATAATGATTAAAATTTTCTTGTTCGATTAATCGGACTCCTCCCCCCTTCCCTTTGTTAGCCGACGGAGCCACTTGGGGAAAGGGGGAGGAGTCTGGTGACATTGATGTCCGTGACATCACCGGCTCTCCCACGGGACTCCCGGAAGGCGGCGGAGAGGTGAGTTTTTTCATTAGCAATCAAAACCATTTTAATCGATCAGAAATTTTAACGATTGAGGAATTAATCGTTAATTTCCGCAGCCTTATAATATTGTTATTTATTTATTACAGGCATTTATCTAGTGCCAACAATTTACACATAGTTTTACATACTGTAGAATCACATCAGTCCCAATCCTCAAGGAGTTTACAATCTAAGCTCCCCACCTCATATGCATACACACTATGGACAATTTTAGACAGGAGCCAATTAGACATGTCTTTGGAGTGTGGGAAGAAACTGAAGTACCCAGAGGAAACCCCACAGTAGGGCACTGTCAAGGCTGGGATTTCAACCAAGGACCTCATCGCTACACATGTTGGGTATTGCCGCGCACGCGATAGTGAGAGCATTAATTATAGGGGCAATATTTATGCGCATCTCTAAATTGATGACCTGTAGGTAGCCCCGATGCTGGCGACGTACACTGTACGTCGTCAGTCACGAAGGGGTTAAAGCGTCTTCTGTGGCCTTTTTGGGGTACTGAATTTTGTTGCCGTTTCACAGAAGCACACAATTTTTTACTTGGGCATGTTGGGTATCTATTTACTCGTTGTAACCTCATCTTTCATATATGATTTTTTTTTTTTTAAATGGGTATTTTATTGAGTTTTGGGGCATTTAAGTGCATTTTTCACTAAATTTTGGGGTTTGATAAGTTACGCTAATATCGTGCAACATAAAAGTTTGCAACTGCCGCTAGTTTATTCTACAGGGTCTTAGCTTTTAGAAAATATATAATATTTGGGGGTTTGAAGTAATTTGTAGGCCTAAAATGTGGATTATAACATGGGTGCAGAAAACGAAAAAATAAAATAAAAAAAGGCCTCAGTCATTAAGGGGTCAAAGAAGGTCTGGAAAACTTTTTTCTTAACCCCTGCAGTGGGGCTACCTCATAGCCTATAGCATCCTCATGTCTATACACTGGGGGGGATTTATCAAAGCTGGAGCAGACAGAACCTGGAGCAGTTGCCCATGTCCAACCAATCAGCATCTCTCTTCAGTTTGCTCAGGTAAGATTTGAAGATTTGAAAATGAAATAGAGAAACTGATGAGTTGCAGTGCAAATTGTCTCTTTTTATATATATATATATATATATACAAAATGTGGTTATTAAATACCACCAAAATAAAACTCTGTCTCATAAAATGATTTAAAATGTATTTGGGTACAGTTTGGCATGATGGAATAATTGTTAAACTATCACAGCACTTAAAACTAAAAATAAAATAAAAAAAAAGCTTGGTAATAAAGGGTATATACAGACTAGTACTCAAGCAGTTGAAGGTTGAACAACTAAAAAAACATTTCAAGAACAAAGCTGTATATTACAGTGCCCTGACAGCAGCTACAAGTGACATTTGTAAACATAATCCCTTGTTTGATAACAGCCAACTTTGCAATAAATAAGGAAAGGGTCAGGTATGGGGGTATAAACCTGACACCCATGGTTAGTTCACCAGTTAAAGGCTTAATACCTAAACAAGAGAGCTGTCGTACTACATGCAGCAGGCACACAGCCCCCGGGGCTCTGTGTAACCCTTTTTTGGCCACCAATTAAATTCCAATCAATGTCAAGAAGAGCCTAAATCTCCCCCTCACGTTTAGTCCATCATTTTCTTCTCACCTTATGAACCTGTTCGGCTTTAACCTGTTTACAAAGCTTTCCTTCACCCTCAGCCAATACCTGCCGATTTTTTAATCTGGACAGCAGTTGTCAGAAGTCGAGCAATAATGACGTCACTAACCAGGCATCCATTTTTCTTACGGGCAAAAGAAAACAACAAACTACCACATGTGTTAAGTTTAATAAGCGAACGCATTTTATTCGTTAGACATTGTGCTTCTGTTCATTATATACGGTCTTACAATTGTACACTCTCCTGTCCGAGTTTGGCTATCGCATTGTAGCGGAACCTTTTGCAAGGTAAAATGTGTGAGTCGGAACGGTGCACTGACAGGATACAGTGCGCCGTTTTTTCCGCTCCCCTGCAGGTCAGAGGACAAGCTGTATAGTAGGATGCTGGCTTTAAGGTTATTGAGGGCTGCTGTGCTGAGCAGGCCGGTGTCATCATCATGGTGCAGCCCTGTCACTTTGTACAGTACAGGGACAACCAGCCCAGGTGAGCCTCTTCCATACACCTACAAATGAGGGGGTCACGTGCAGCTAGAGGACTTGGAATTGTAATTAGAGAGCTGGGGGTTACCCCAATTGTATTAGAGCTCTTTAAGGGCAAATAATATAGGGGGGGCTGTTGCCATGTGCTAAAACACCTAAAAAATCAATTTTACACTAATTTTCTATGCGCTGCTATTGAAGTCGATCAAAAATGCGCATTGATGCGCCAAATACGCACCTGAACTATTTTCCTAATGCACAGCAGCGCATCACGCAGGTGTGAATGGACCCTTTTTAAAAAAGAATGGCAATCCTCTTGTACAGATGTGAATGGACCCTTATAGAAAAGAATGGCAATCCTCTTGTTGTACAGATGTGAATGGACCCTTATAGAGAAGAATGGCAATCCTCTTGTTGTACAGATGTGAATGGACCCTTATAGAAAAGAATGGCAATCCTCTTGTTGTACAGATATGAATGGACCCTTATAGAAAAGAATGGCAATCCTCTTGTTGTACAGATATGAATGGACCCTTATAGAAAAGAATGGCAATCCTCTTGTTGTACAGATGTGAATGGACCCGGTCCCTTATAGAAAAGAATGGCAATCCTCTTGTTGTACAGATGTGAATGGACCCTTATAGAAAAGAATGGCAATCCTCCTGTTGTACAGATGTGAATGGACCCTTATAGAAAAGAATGGCAATCCTCTTGTTGTACAGATGTGAATGGACCCGGTCCCTTATAGAAAAGAATGGCAATCCTCTTGTTGTACAGATGTGAATGGACCCGGTCCCTTATAGAAAAGAATGGCAATCCTCTTGTTGTACAGATGTGAATGGGCTCCTATAGAAACGAATGGCAATCCACTTGCTGTACCGATGTGAATGGGCCCCTTTTTTTTTTAATTTAAAAAACCTTACACTATGAGAAGGTTAAAACAGCAGCATGACATAAGTGCATCCAGCACTATTGGATAATTGCATGTGATTACAGAGTTTCAGTAAGCTAGTAACAGAGTGTCTCATTCAGTATCAGGCATGTACCAATGTGTCTTTATGCCCTGTCTGGCTTGTTTCCTCACCTGGACTTCATCAGAGTTGCCTTTGATGATGTCCAGGTTATGAAACGCGTCAGCTTGAAGTACTTACTGTGCATCCCACCCGATACTGAGTGAGGCACTGTGTTGCTTATATACTACTACAGGATCATACTGCATATGAGTGGATGTACATCTATACAGAGTTCAAGACCATAGAGGGAAACAAGTTTGATTGCATGGAGAAGAGATTATGAATTGCTTTTTGACATACTTTTAATAAGGGAATCATTCTGATGTGGTCAATTCCAGTCCAGTAGGTGGTGGGATTGTACCTGGAGCACTGAGTGATACACGTTGGTGGATTTTGGCCTCATTCACACAGCCACATTGCGGCCCGTACAGCTGCATGCACGGCCGTATCAGGCCGCTCCCGGGAAGGACAGGTGCTGTGTGTTATTTGTGCGCAGCAGTCTGTCCTTCTCTATGGGAGTACGCGGCCGTACGCTGTCCCTACACTCACCCGACTTGGACGTCCGTACGGGTGTCCCTGCTTGGTCGCAGATTGGATTGAAGGTTGCATATAGAGATATGGGCTATTTTATTTGATTTACACTTTTTTTGCACTTTAATATATGCCCTGCCTATTTTAATTTTTAATTTCAACAGTACAGGGGTGTTCAAGTAAGCACAGATCTGTGCACTGATAAAGGATGGTCAATGTTAGCACTGAGGTGTTAAGTCATTCCCTTGCTCATATAACAAGAGACAATATTTGGAATGGAATTAATAACAGTTTTTATTTGTCTTTGTAGTACCTCCAGACAGCAGCCAGAGTTCACAATATACAGATAACGATAGGGTAAGTAAGGATAAACATTGTCCATCAGAGAGACTGTCAAGCAGTGACAGTTGTAGGTCATTTTAATGTGATACTATCACTACATCAAAAATTCCAGTTAAACCTGCCTGCAAAAAAAAGTATAATATTTATTTCTCAAACAGGCCGTGCTTTGGATCTTTGCTGTCTTCAAGCACTTCGGCCACTGAAAGATCTTCTGCATCCAACACCTTATCGGGTGCATCAGATGCCTGCTGCTTGCTGTGGTTCCACTTGCACACCCCGATATGCCTACTGTGTCCCAGGAGATTCATTGGTGGGCAAAGCTCTTGAACATAGCGATGATCTGAGGCACCTGCCGCTGGAAAAGAAGAATATTCTTGGGCCGATTAGTTGACAATTCACTTCGGTTATCCAATCACGTGCAGGCGACATAGCCTGCTATTGGATACAATATTTTTAATGTATTGGAGGTATTTATATAGTGCTGACAATTTACGCAGCGCTTTACATACTGCACATTCACATCAGTCCCTGCTCTTAAGGAGCTTACAATCTAAGGTCCCTATCTCACATACATACAGGGCCAATTTAGACAGGAGCCAATTAACCTTCCAGCATGTATTGGGAGGAAACCCAAGCACAGGGAGAACATGCAAACTCCATACAGATACTAGCCTGACTGGGATTTGAACCAGGCAAGTCAGAAGGCCCAACATATTGTGTAGATTTACTAGTATTTCTCAGCCTGAATGGAGTGCAACTTTGAGTACCAGTTGCTTATCTTGTATTATATTGGACTGAATTTGGTATGACAATAACTTATTCTATAATATAGAAATGCAGTTGTTGTGTTTGTTTTTTTTTATAAACATGCCCCTTTCTTTTGTCTGTAGCCAGAGGAAATGGAAAATCCTTTCAAAGATCCTCCCAAAAAGTGCATCTTATGTGATGTGCCAGTAGACTATAAGAACGTGCAGGTAAGTTGTTGTTTTTTTCAGGATATTTGAAGATCTCATTATTTCGGAGGCACATAAGGATCACTGTTCTTGAAACTTGTTTTAGGTTAGATTTCTTTAATACTGCAGCCTTCCCTGCTGTCACAAGACCGTTTAACCCCTTCATGACTGAGGCCCTTTTTTCATTTTTTGCACCCATGTTATATTCCACATTTTAGGCCTGAAAATGACGTAAAACCCCCCAACATTATATATTTTCTGAATGCCAAGACCCTATAGAATAAAATGGTGGTAGTTGAAAATTTTTATGTTGCGCAATATTAGCCCCATTCCTTATTAAACCCCAAAATTTAGTGACAAATTTAATTAAATGCCCCAAAACACAACAAATTACCCATTTTTTTAATGAAATATAAAAGATGAGGTTACAACGAGTAAAACGATACCCAACATGCCCAGTTTACAGATTGCGTGCGACCGTGAAACGGCGAAAAACTGCAGTACCCCAAAAAGTCAATAAAAGACGCTTTAAAAGCCCCCACAGGTCATCAATTTAGAGATACCCCAAAATACTGGCCCTAGAATTATTGCTCTCACTCCGGCGTGCGCGGCGATACCCAACATGTGTAGCGCGTTCGTCGTTTTCATGCGTAGGCGCACCCGACGCGTGTTTACGTGGCGACGCGCGTGCTCGCGGGGGCGGGGTACTTTTAAAATTTTTTTTTTTTATTATTAGATTTATTTTATTTCATTTTAATTTTAAAAACTGTTTTTTTTTTTTTTTTTACTTTACTTTGACTGCTATCACATGGGGGGGCTTGCAAGCCCCCCCATGTAATAGCAGATGGTGGTGACAGGTCCTCTTTAAGGTGATGCTGGGGGTCCAAAAGACCCTCAGTGTCACCTTTACACTGGAAATAAGCTATTGAAGTGCAGATCGCACTTCAATAGCTTATAGCTGGGCTGCAGGAGCCCAGAACTGACAGCCCAGGGACCGGAAGTGATGCAATCTGCATCGCTCCCGGTCCCATAGAACGGGGAGGGGATCGATGAACGGAAGTTCGTCGACCTCCTCCCCAGCTCCCCGCGGACACAAAGATCGCCGGTCCCGGGCCCGTAGGAGGGGCAACGGAGCCCGGGAAGCACGACGGGGGGGGCGGCCCCTTCTTCGGGACGCAGAAGCGATCTGGCGACAGGTAAGTCGCCAGGATCGCTTCTGTTGTAAAGCCGACAGTCGGCTCTACAAGTTTAAACAGAGTCCCGGCGGCAAAAGTCGCCGGGAGTCTGTTTAAACAGCCCCAATGCTGGCGACGTACACTGTACGTCGTCAGTCACGAAGGGGTTAAAACAGGGGTAGACAAACTTTGGCCCCCCAGCTGTGGTGAATCTACAAATCCCATCATGTCTGTGCCTTTGGATCTAATGCCAGTTTTGTAAAACCTTAGAGGATTTGTACTTTCCCCATTGCTGGAGGGCGAAGTTTCACTACCCCTGGTTTAAAAGGTCATTCCACCCAAAGCTAATGATTTATCTGTGGGTAGATAGTAAAAAAGCCAATCAACAAAAAACAAATCCATATTTCAGTTATAGATGTAGTGTTGTTGGCTGAGTCACCCACCTTAGGGCTTCAGCAGTGATATCTACCATAGTACGTGGCTTTTTTCATATCCACATTAGAGTTTAGAGTGTTCCCCCTGCTTATGTGTTATTCCTCATTATCAGGGCTTGAAAAATCCGCTCGTCTGTGACGAGAGGACGGCGGAGCCCGACGAGCAGCTTCCCGGCCGGCCGTTGTAATTACACGGCCGGCTGGGAGCTTTACATTCAAGCTTGTATTACCTACAGCTGTCACTGCCGGTCCCGAGATCCGATGCGGCCGGGACCGTCACGGCTCTGTGACAGGAGATCAAAGGGAGTTCAGTACACGATCTCCTTTTGATCTACTCTCCAGTCCCGGAATGCAGGAAGTGATGTATATTACATCACTTCCCGCATTCAGTGTCCTTCTCCAGCTACAGAAGCTGATGAAGCTGATCTCTGCTTCATCAGCTTCTCTGGGGGTCCCTAGGTGACATTAGACCCCTGATGTCTTCATAAAGAGGACCTGTCATGTAAATTGGCTATCACATAGGGGGCTTCTTAGTCCCCGCATGTAATAGCAATAAAGTTGTATAAAAAAAGTAATACAAAAATGAAAGAATCATAAAAAAATAAATAAAGAAGCATTAAAAAAGAAAAACATTTTTTTTTAAGTCCTCCGCCCCCAACATACACATGCAGATATGCGCCTACGTGCGAAAACAACGATTGTGTTGCACGTTACATATTACCGCCAACGTCGGAGCGAGAGCTATAGTTTTAGGGCCATCAATCACTGATAACACTAAACTGATGAGCGGTAAAAGCGTTTCAAGCATCGCCTATGGACAATTTTCAGTGTGGTCGTTTTTTGCGGGCGCACACAATTTTAAGGCTTGACATGTTTGGTGTATATTTACCCGACATGACCCCGACTTTTATATTATACCAAAAATATGGGTAAGAATAGATGTTTTCTAACATAACGTAGGGAAACTTTGTTTTTTGTAGAATTTACTGTACTTTGTTCATATAGTAAAAAAATAACCCCCCCAGTAGTGATTTTATACCACCAAAAGAAAGCTCTATCTGTCCCCAAAATTTTTTTAACATAAATTGCAAGGTTATAGTCCGGTCATGCTGACTGGTGACATTTTTGACTGACTGGTGAGACACCATCAAAGCCCTGCTCATTATATAAAATTGAGCAGAGAGTGTAAATGCCCCTTAGAATGGCAGCAAGCACATGTGCAGGCCTGGAAACCTGAGTGTAGTTGCCAAAGAGACCTGTTTTTAAAAATGTAGAAATCAGTTTTGGGGCCTGTTAATGCTAATCAGTGCGTTCAGGGCAGGGTTCCGTGCCATGGAAGCAATGGATCGCATACACAAACCCTCCATGCGTTTTGGGCCGGGAGGGATCGTGGTGGTGCCATTCATTCCAATTGCACCGCCTCACGCCCGTAGCGCACCTAAACATGCATGCAGTATTTTTTGTGATCGCACTGGAATGCCGGGCATTGCGGTACCATGCGTTCTGGTGCGGAAAATTGCACTACAAGAGGGAGGCGTGTCTGCGGTGCCATTGGAATGAATGGCACCACCACACCCACTCCTGCCCCAGAACACAGAGAGGGTTTGTGTATGCAATCTTGTGCGCTCATGGCATGGAACCGTGCCCTAAACGCACTGGATAGTGTGAACGGGCCCTTAATTAGGTCCGCTGTTCTAGTTGCCAGGTCTGAGAGAAGAGGGGTTTTGCTTTAGGTTGCACTAAGCACTTTAGGTTGATTTGCAGAGCTCATGCCACAGGAGCAATGGTTGCTGAATACAATAGCCGGAAATGGGAAATCCTTTTCTCCATGCTGTTTTGCATGCGTGGGGGAATCTAATGATTTCTCTCATTCAGCTCGAACAAGACAAATCTAGTAGTGTGTTGCTACCTTTTATAAACGCTTAGTTTAGTTGAAGTGCAGTCCTACTGGTCAATATGTTTCATGCTCTAGTGTCACTAACACAGCAGCAAACTCCACCACCTGTCATTTATCTGTGAAATGCCAAAACTTACAGGACCATGCAGTAAACTGCTAGGTCTGCATATACTGTCCAGGCCCCTCTATTCTTCAAAACATATCATCTTCTAGCCACAGTGCCTAGCTGAGGGTGATGTCACCTGGCAGGATCCTTGGGAATACAGAGCTGCCAGAATCTTGCAGGAAGATGCTCTTGCAGTGCGCTGGAGTGTCTTTTGGCGATTTCACTTGCTCTGCATTCCACAGAAACATGTCACACCCAGCAATGTGGAAGATGGGGCCAAGGTAAGTATTAGGGATGCACTGATACCGAGTATTTGGGTTAGTACTTGTACTCGCCCAAATGCTCCCGACGAGGGAGCATGGAGCTGGCTTCCCGGCAAATCAGGAAGGCTGGCAGCATGTCCTGACTCGCCGCCCGGCTTCCTGATTGGTCATAAGCTGCCTAATCGGAAAGCCGGGCGGCGAGTCATTACCCTCCCCCTTGCTTCCTGATTGACCAGAAAGCCGGCTCCATGCTTCCTGATTGGTTGCGAAGCTGGGCAGCGAGTCATTACATGCCACCCGTTTTCCTTAATGGGACTTTTGGTATCGGTGAGTACCGAAAAAAAAAAATATCGGTATTCCTTTCCGATACCGAAAAAACAGTATCGGTGCATCCCTATTAAGTATAAATCCTTTTTTTTCTTAAAGGTACATTTTGCAGGTACACTTTCATTTACCATACCGTTTCGATCTTCTTCAATAGCTGCTGTCCCAGTTTGTGTCGCCGCACACCGGTCGTATTTATGGAAGACATATAACGGGTAACTATTTTATTGTAAGGATTCGGGTTCTATAATAATAATCGTTATGGTTCTCAGATGAAAGCCAGCAGGCTGGTGTATGAAGCGGTTTTATGAGGTGATTATACAGGTGAAACTCGAATAATTACAATATCGTGCAAAAGTAATTGCAGTAAGTGCTGCAAAAGGGGCCCAAACCAAGTACTGAGTACATATGCATGCTTGTACTTTTCAGAGGTCGATATTGTTCTATGTACAATCCTTGTTTTATTGATTGCATGTAATCTACTTTTTTGAGGTTGGGGGTTCTTGGGGTTTTCATGAGCTGTAAGCCATAATCATCACAGTTATGACATATCACGGCTTGAACTATCTTGCTTTGCATGTAATGAGTCTATCTCATATATTAGTTTCACCTTTTAAGTTGCATTAGTGAAATAAATGAACTTTTGCACGATATTCTAATTATTCGAGTTCCACCTGTAGATAAACAATTAATTTTACGTGTGCTTGGATTTGTAAGTTTACAGTATTAGAATTACCTGTATAGGAAAGAGATTCAACTGTTTATTTTTATAAGCTCTTTTATTGGTTTGTATTCATTCTGCTGGAACACACTTTAGAAATGCTGGCGAATGTTACTGGGCGCCTAAAGGTTTTGCTTTCCAAAAATCTATATAGTGCTTATTGGGTAACATAATGTTTCTTCCGGAGGGTGGCTACTTTTGTTCCCCATGGTCCCTGTGTGTGTTGTAAGGTAGCCACCACTCCAAGCTCGCTCCTGTGATGGACTACAATCTCACGCTTAGTTTACTAATTTGTATTTTATTGTAGTCCATCACGGGAGTGAGCTTGGAGCGGTGGCTACTTTACAACACACACAGGGACCATGGGGAACAAAAGTAGCCACCCTCCAGAAGGAAGGACAGTGTCAGCATGAATTCAGAGATGATTGGTGGATCTACAGCCGAGTGATACACAAATGAGATACATTAATGCATTTTTTTTTTTTTTAAAGATTTAACTCCGAGTTCAGTTTTACTTTAAGCAGTGTGGCAGATAGACCCATAACCTCACTGAACATGATTAGTGGCACTCCTTTTACACTTTGGGTAACTGCATTCAGAGGAATATATGAGAGCTCGTTATTGCAGTAATTGTATCCGTTATATTTTCGAGTAATGTTTGTGTAATTGCATAAAACTTTCTACCACCTTCCAAAACTTCTCTGTGCAGCAGAAACCAGACAGATTGAGACTGGGTTCACTCCATTTTCCGGACTAGATCTAGAACATAGTGCATTGCATTTTTGCCACGATTTGAATTTTTTTTTTTGTAGCTTAAAATGGTCTTACAGGCGCGTTCCAGTGCATTCGAGAGCAGATAAAATAGTACAAGCAGTATTTGTCTGGTCTGGACTGCGCTGGTGGGAACAGAGGCCAGAAATTGCATTGGGATACATTGGGATGCATTTTGGGTCTGGAAACAGTCTGGTCTGGAGGTAATCTGGATGTGGTGTGAATGGGCCCTGAGAGGTTATTTATTGTTAGCCAGTCAAGTTGTATATTACATTGAATACTGCTGTCAGCCTAACCTGTTCTGACGGTGAGGTGCAGGGATGAACTCTTGCTGCTTGATAATCTGATAAGCAGGGAAAGGACACAGAAAGCTACAGAGCTAGAACAGTGAAAGCGTTACAGTTCTGACTATGCGCTTTTGTAAGGGTGTGTAAAGCCCACAGCTGGCCATACACTAATAGAGTTTTTTTGTTTAGCGTGTTCCTCTAACCATGTGGTTTATAGCCACTACGGTGCCTATTGTATTTAGCTTCTTCTGCAGCTATTGTATTCAGCAGCCAATGCTGAGAATGTGCATGTGATTGGATGCAGGCACTGTTTGACCGAAATTTTTCAGATTGGCTCCTTTGATAAGTCGATTGAAAAGTCAACTTTTGTAAGTTGGAGGGGTGCCAACAGGGCCACCCATAGTTTGAAATTTGACCAGTTCATCAGTAACCAGACGAAATTTAAAGCTGAAGTCCAGGTATAACTTATTATGCATGCATGCATGCATGCATACATACATCCATCCAGCTTGGTCCAATGTAAGTATGGATATGTCATGCCTGAGCGGCCCACAGGGATCCTGTAAAGCACTCTAGTAGCTGGAGCTACTACATTGCTGACCATTATCTTCCGGGAGCACTGTGCTGAGTGACTTCCTCTTGTTGTAGGGGGATACAAAAAAGTAAAAGCTGTAAGGAGGGTCCGGTCACATGATATACTCTCCCTCAATTTCAAAATTCTCTCCGCTGCATCAGTATTTGTAAACTTGAATCGTGAAATTGCATGACTGTATATTGTTGCCCATATCTTGTAAATATTCTTTTCCTGAGGTTTTAAGCAAATATTTGCCGATCTTGCCCGTCCCTTGCTTTAGCATTCTTGCCACACCAAGCATGGAAGCACTTCCAGGTCAGTTTGGGTCCCTCATCACCTAAAAGGAGATGCAAACCGCCATGCTGACGCTTGGCTTGCCAGTAGTCCATAGTCAGCTGGGCTGATTCACCTCCCACCCAGCCCAGCTCCTAGTCAGAGCCTCATTGTCAGAACAGCCACTGCACATTGCCATTTAGCAGTAGAGTGGAAGCAGCGAGGCATAGATCATACACAAGGGGTTGGAGAAGTGAGCAATCTAGGTCAAAATAGCGGAGAGGAGAGGAGAGAAACTGTCACAGGCGGACGCGCGCTGAGTGGCCGTTGTCTCTCCTCCCACCCCGCTCAGCCTCCTGTGACAGATCAGAGGAGAGCTGTGTGTGGCCGGCCATGCGGGGGAGGAATCGGCTGTCAGATGGAGCTTTCCTCCTGCACCGCTCGCTCAGCCTCCTGTGACAGCTGCAGAACGAGGTACAAACACTGAGTGTTTGTAAATAATTGAGGACATGGTATGGTTACTGTGCCCTCAATTATGAATGAATGGGAAGTGATCTACATCACTTCCTGTTCATTCATGATTGTGGATATAGTAAACATACTCTGTCCACATGTTATGAATGAACAGGACCACTCAGCATAGAGGATTCCTGTTCATTGATAACAGGGGCTGCAGAAAAAGAGATTGAGGACTGTGTGTTCTCAATCTCTTTTTCTATTTTAAAAGGGAAATATCAGGGGTCTGTTTAGACCCCTAATATTTCCCCAAAGCATCTAAAAGTAATGTAAAAAGTATTTCATAAAAATTAAATGTAAAGGTTTATAAAAAAAAAATATTTTTTTTAAAGTTAGAAAAAAAAACATTTTCGTTTTCAGCCCGACATTTTTTTTTTTGTTTTTTGTTTTTAAAATTTTCATTTTCGGTGTACCTCTACCCTTTAGTGAATAGCCCTGAAATTCATGCCACTGCCACGATCTATTAGAAAAAGCTGGGAAGGTGAGCCTATTCACCATGTGACCATGGATTAAAGGTTCTATTTACTGGAACAACAAAGAGCTTTAGAAAAGAAACTTTCTGTAACGCATAGGAAAGTTGTTGTTTTTTTTAAATAGTCTGGTATGATTTATAGGAAGTGACTTTACATAAGCTTTAAGCACAGAGATATTGAGCAATACTACAGTATAAAACTGAGAAGAGATAGCATAAGTGTCATAGGATCTAAGTGTCTTTACTGCTGGCAAGTATGCTTCCTTAGGCTTAGTTCACACCAGAAACTGCATCACAACTGCGTGCGTCTGCGCAGTTGCACTGCGATCCGTTTTGATGCGTTACTGTTCTGCACTAGAAAATGCTAATTAGGCATGTAGGTCACTTCCTTTTCCTTTCAGAGCATTTCTTACGCTTGTTTTGTTTATTTGGGAGCTCAGTCATGCTTTCTTTATATGTTTGAGCAAAAGTGGACTCGCCATATTGCTGTTTCTGTACCCTGTTCATCGCACCAAAATCAGGGTTCAACTTTTCTGCAATCTCCCTCCACTTGGCCATCTTCTGGCGATTTGTTTTTATATTGGGGATGTTTGCTGTCGTACAGCAGGGGACAGTCCTGCACATATCGGATAAATTCATCAGCATCCACACCTTCCATCTCTGCTATTTCTCTCCAAACTCCAACCAGGAAGTCCTGGATGATGACATTCAAATCTGAGTCATTTTTTTTAATGCGTTTGCACCACGTTTTGATGCAGGTAAAATAGGACAACCAGTTGAACTGACTGCAATGGTGTGAATTAGGCACAAGAAAGCATTGTGATGTATTTTGATTGCAGCAGTCAAAATAAACGGACTGCATATAGTGTGAACCGGCCTGTAGTGTTGTGATTTATATGTCTTTCTGTTTTCTTTGCAGGGTTGTGTGGTAGAAAACAAAAAGCTGTTGCAAAAGCCATTAAAAGAGCACATATTATGGGTAAAATTGCCTGTGTTTGTTTTGTTTTTTATACTCCAAGCTAATCTAAGTATTGGATGTTAATGTCTCTTCTCTTACAGGTTTTATGCCCATCACATACAAGGACCCAGCATTTCTCAAAGACCCTAAGATTTGCAATATCTGAAACTCCAAGTTTGTGTTTTGTTAATAAAATGATTTGCCATAGGCTTCTGGCTCTTTATTGCAAGTTTATGCACTACTTTGCTGTAATGAAGAACTGATATTTAGGAAAGGACACTGACAAAAGATCTACCTCATTTTATTTCACCAAAAATAAATATCTCACTTATTTTCTTATACATCAGAGAACTAAAAAAATACATACAAGGGGAAAGTTTGACAAACCTCTCCTTTGTTAGGAGCAGTGTTCCAAATATCCTAATAAAACATTACCATATTGACCCTAGCTGAGCTCTATATCCTATATCTGGGAAGGTTCTCATTCATCCAGGTCATGGTATATCTGTAAGAAATAGGTCAAGGCAACTGGACTTGCTGTATTTTTCTTCACGTTTCACTGGACATCCAATCAGTTTTTTCAATTCAAAATGATTTGTACAAAAACTCTCTGGGACATATTTATTCTTGTACAAGTCATTCTGACTTAAGAAAGTTGGATGACCAGTGAAACGTCTTCAAGAAAAATACAGCAAGTCCAGTTGCCTTGACTTATTTTTTTTTACAGAATATCTTATACTGTACTTTTTTCTCTCTCTCATATTTTTTTGTTTGTTCCAGGGCTATCTTCTTTAGGCTGGATTAACATCTTTTGCATTTTGATAACACATGCCCCTGCATTAATGTGTGTGACAGCAATGCGTGTTGCCATTCATTCTGTATGGCACCCAACGCACATCTACAGTAAGAAAGAAAGGGGGAAAAAAAAGGATCGCAAATATAGTGAACTAATTTTTTTTTTTTTTGTTGCTCTGCATTGTCAAGAATAGCACAGTTGTGTTTTTTGTGCAATAAGGCATGTTGTGAGCCTATTCAAAATGAATGGACTACTTTAAACCTTAAATGCACATATTAACGTTTTACTGTATAGCGAATCACTGAAACACGCACATCACTTGGCAGGAAACGTGATATACACGTCCTTGCTTTGTGTGAGTGGTAAACAAGTTTAAAGAAGAATTCCAGGAAATGTTTTTGTTAACCCTCGCAGTGGGGCTACTCCCACACTCTAAGGGTTAACTGCTCTTTTTTCTAGGTTATAAAAAAAGTTGTACTCATCTGATGCGTGAAGCCGGCTTGTTCTTTGTTTTTAGACCAGTCCTTCAAGCCTCTCTCCCCCCTCCTCTGTAGCAGTCTAAGGTCCCATAACTCATCATGTCCATACACAGTGTATAGATGTGAGGACGCTGAGGAAGATTACAATGCTGCAGTGGAGGAGATGACGAGAGGGGGCGCTGTGACATCTGGCCAGCTAGAAGCTTTGGGTGAGTATAACTTGGTTATTTTAGCACCTAGACACAAATGAGTGCTTAACCCTTGTAGTACGGGGTTAGTCCCACTGCAAGGGTTAATATAAATTAAAAAAAAATTCTGGTGTTTTTCTTTAGGAATGACCAGCCTGTAGAGTACACCTTGAGAAACAAGTCAAAGGCAGCTCCCCTACATCCAACCTAATAGGTTCTCCCTAAGGACAGTAGAGGAAAATGTGTTAAAATAGACCATTAAAATGTGGGCGACTGTGAACCCAAAGCGTCTGGTTTGAAATGTTGTGAATCATCTTCTGTTTCTGTACCACTATTTAACATTACTCTGTTGTCATAGTGGTTGGCCTCGCGGGTAGAGGCTCTTGTCCTTGTCAATGGTAAGCTAGCTTTCTTTTTCTGTGGCAGTCTCTTTCGCTTGCCGGATTTCCTGAAACATACTTCTGGCAGGTCGCATTCTTCGATCATTAACGTCAGTTTATCCATCTCAGTGATGTTATGTTGAGTATTACAGTTGTCTGGTATTAGTGTCCCATTTAAAGTAAGGCGACATGACTGCAGGAAAGCAGAGTGAGGGAAGAAATGGTGCAAGGCCTGACACAGGAAAATATTTTCTTCTGGAGCTGCAGGCTTTACCTCATCTGAAAAATAAAATTATATTATCCAGAATTTAGTTTGGACGCAAAAGTTTGCTGCACTTTACCTTAAATGAACAATCAACCTACAAGGATAGGCTGATCCTGGCTTCCATAATGTCTGGATACTCCAACAGTTAGAACTTCCTCTAAATCCAAGAGCCGCACTCCAGAAATAAATCTGACATACATTGTGTAATGCCTGAGCATAAATAAGCTGTATACTGACACAACTTTACGCTGCATTTTGTTTACAACACATGTAAATGCTTTGCATTTCTTCAAATAGTAGGAGTGATTTAACTTCCTCCAAAAAAAAAAAGTTATGGTTTTTGGTGCAAATGAGCCCTAAAGCTTCCTACATGCTTTCTGAATCTAGTGTTCTTCACACTAGCATTTACAAGCTAAGAACAAATACTGAATCCTATGAAAGCAAACAATTTGGGACATTGCTGAAAAACACATTGAGAGTATTTCCAAACCTGCACATACTTTAAAAGTGCTTATTTTATACTTACACAAGTGAAGTGGTACTGGTAAATATTTGACAAATTAGACCAGGAGTCGGCAACTCCAGCTGTGCTTTAACTACAAATCCATCATGTCAAGTCTTGCAATGCCTCATGGGACTTGTAGTTCCACAATAGCTGGAGGGCCAGAGTTGCCCACTCTTGCATTAGGCTGGGTACACACCTTACAACCATCACAAGACTTTTGTCTTGCGATGGTTGTAAGGTACTTAAAAAAACGTACGATCTGCCCATCTTGCATAGGCAGATCGTACTTGCGATGATCGCAAGCCACACCCCCTGAGGGGCAGGCTTCCGATGACCGCAATGCCGAACGGGCAGTGTGCGCTTGCGCACACCGGCCCGTACGGCTTTCATCGTACGGACATGCCACAAACCCGCCGAACGTCGTACGATGCTCGGCGGGTTTTCGAACATGTCCGTAAGTTAAAAGTCGTGCGACCTTACAGTAGTAGAGGTCGCACAGCTTCCACACACCTTACGATAATCGTACCATCGCGGGATTTCCCGCCATTATCGTCAGGTGTGTGGGGACCTTTTAGAGGTTTACATAATACAGTCAAGAAACAGCACTGCAGACCACATAATCCTTTTTTATTAAATTACCGTTTTTAAGAAGCTTTTTCTTTTCAGCAATTTTCCTTTTTAGTTGATTAACTTGTTGCAGAAGTTGCTCCACAGAATATTCGCTTTCTAGCACACGAGAGCAAGTTTCCTACAGACAGAGCAAGCTGTTATTTTTCTCACAGTTTTTATATTAACACTATGTATTTGTTAAGACACCAGCTATTCGTGCATATGAATGGGGAATGCGACAATCATCAGTATAAAACACAAATAATGCAACAATTGACCATGGCGTTATAAAAAAGGTAATGAAACTGTGCCCATTCACTAAAGGTGATGATTAAAAATGCATTCAAGTACACTATTAACAAAAATGTATCTTATTTGTGTATCACTCAGCTGTAGATCCTCAAATCATCTCTGAATTGGTGCTGACACTGTCCTTCCTTCTAGAGGGTGGCTTTTGGTCCCCATGGTCCCTGTGTGTGTTGTAAAGTAGCCACCACTCCAAGCTCGCTCCCGTGATGGACTACAATCTCATGTTTAGTTTACTAATTTGTATTGAGATTGAAATAATCTATCACAGGAGTGAGCTTGGAGTGGTGGCTACTTTACACCACACACAAAGACCATGGGGGAACAAAAGTAGCCACCCTCCAGAAGGAAGGACAGTGTCCGCACCAATCCAGAGATGATTCTCATGAACGTGCACAAGCTGCTGTCAGTCAATTGCAGAGGAGGATCCAGAAAAAGAATGTCTGTAGTGGAATGTGGCACGCCCTGCATGATTTGAGGATCTACAGCTGAGTGATTCACAAATAAGATACAATTTTTATTAATAGTTAAGGTACTTGAATGCATGTTTAAGATTAAATGCCTGAGTTTAGGGTCACTTAAATTTACCAGAGCTGGAATTTTAAAGGCTGCTTAACTAGTAATGTGCAAAACACAAATCATAGTGTAATGTCAGTGCACGTAGATTTTTTTTTTCTCTCATTATTACAGTGTTCTGGTAAATAAGATTTTTATATCTTTAGAAGCTTTCTCATGCATGTGTTATTGCATTACATATAAATCTCTAGAGGGAGCAAACACCCAATTTCCTATCACCCTGTCTCAACCACACAAGCATTACCTTGTTTCTAATCAGTCGGAGAAAGAGATGAATTGGCTGGCAACATGTACACATTCAGTTTTAGTATAAACTATACATAGAAACAAAGTTTTTTTTTTTAACCTTTATGAACGATAATAGTTAATACCCATTGCCAATGTTGACATTCGAATGTCTACAATGTAAGAAAAAACATTTAGAATATATTCCCTTTCAAGTTTATGTAAAGTCAAAACGTTTTTATTTTTTTAGGTTTGGATAGTGTAATAAGGGAGAACTGCAACATTTGCCAGGTTTATATTGCAGTCTCTGCTCCTACTGGTGAGACTCACCATCATTATTGGTCTTAGTGACCATTGTCGCCGGTATAGACAGTAAAGTGAAATACAAAACTTTTGGGTTGCCACAGGAATAAGCGATGACGGGAAATCTTTTCAATATGCACATCTGTTCTGGTAGCGGCTGCCTAGACGATAGCCCCTTCCTTTTGAAAGATCGTCATTAACCTCTTCAAAAGTACAAAAACACCACAAAAAGAAAAACACTGACGGGTTATTACCATTTCCTACTCTATCCAAAACTAAATTTAACCTGAGTAGGAACAGAACCCCCCCCATAGTGTTTGCTGCTCTGCACCCACTATGTGAGTTTTTCCATCGCCTACTGTCACAGCGACAATGGTTTAGACGGCAAGCAAGTGAGAATCTGTAATGGAAACAAAGACCGCAATAAAAATGTGATGAGTCTTAAGCTGGCCATACATTGCTTAGATTTTCAAAAGAATTTTTATACGAAATAACTTTCTTTAGACTTCCTATTAGTTGATGGGGTGAAATCGACGATCGATTTTGGCCACAGTGATGAAAAAACTTGAAGGAGCAGGATGGGAAAATTTTGAATTTGAACAAAAAAAATTCTAACAGTGAATGTGTTTTTTGTTTGGGGGAACTCCATTCATTCCAAAATCGAATGTCAAGATCAAACAAAATGTTGATTGACATTTATCAAGCGTCTGATGGCATTATTGGGTGGCTCTACAGTACATGATCTCCGATCTGTTCCCTGTGTCCTTCAATGAACGGGAGAGAAAGATCCTTCGTACGAACGATCATTCTGAAATCTATTAGTGTATGGCCAGCTACAGCCATTCCCTACTCACCCAAAAAAAAAAATTCCTGTCTGTGTACCTGTTAAGAGATTTTCCCTTCCTGTTTGGTGCTCTCTAATGGTGCACTGAAAAACTGTAATCTTTCCCCACTGTCCATAATGCTTTGGCTGGACATACACATGAAGTATAAGCATATCAAGAAAAGAAGCTACAGCTGAATGTAAGAGTGATCAAATGCCACAGGATGTCAATATAAACTATTACAGGCCAAATGCAGAAAGGGATTATTGCACAGGGAAAAAAAATATCAAACAGTAAACTGCATAGTTTATTTAGTAATTATGTTAGCACTTGCTGGGTCAAAATGGATTAAAAATCCCTTGGTTAGAAGTTTGGGTCCTATCCTTTACCAAAGGAAAAGCAGATACTATGTCCACTGTCTATATCAGGGGTGCCCACTATTTTTTTATGTAGGGCTCATTCACACTGGAATCGGCCGACACGTACAGCTCCGTGCTGCGTGCACAGCCGTATTGGGCAGTTCCCAGGAAGGACAGGTGCTGCGTGTGATTAGTACGCAGCCCCCGTCCTTCTCTATGGGAGTACGCGGCCGTACGCCCCCCCTCTCCTCACTGCTCTGCATTAGTTCTGTGACAGCGGCTCCGCCCTCCCCCGCCGCCGGTTGCTTCACTTCTTCTCGGAACCCCGCTGGGGAGAGCAGCGGGGGTCCAGAGAAGCGGCGGGAGGAGAGGACATGGCGATCTACCAATGATCGCTACGCGATCGACTGGTAGATTGCGATCGACCTTGTGGGCACCCCTGGTCTATATACACAAAATATTCCCAGGATTCTATCTGATTGGTTGATCATTCTGTGGTTTGATGCTCCCTTTTTTCAATCTATAGCCACCTTTAGGGCTTGTTCACACTATGTCCAGACCAGAATGTTTTTGTCTTGTCCAAAAATGTATTGCCCATTCATTCGTATGGTAATAAATGAGGCTAGTTCACACCAATGCGATCAGTTCCAGTACGTTTCAAAAAGTACTGCATGCACTATTTTCTCTGGTCTGGAATACACCAAATTGCATGTAAATGCGTGCAAATGTACCAGAACACACTAGTAAGTCCATTTAGACTAAACCGTACCAGAACACATTCAAAATACACATGACTGCATTTGCAGAAAAGCATCTAGATCTGGTCTGGAGATGGTGCGAACAAGCACTTACACAGCCAAGATATCAAAGCGGGAATCAAAATTACTTCTGCAATCACTTACCGTCAGTTCCTCCTGTAGACTTGTACACATATCTGTAATTTTAATGACTTCCTTTAGCGTTCCATCTTTGTGGAAAAATTCCAACCTTTGCAGATAAAAAGTAAAAATGCTTACTATTTTAAGGTGAAAAATTAAACCACTGAGATAAAATACAGCAATTTATTTGGTTCCTGTAAGTACAAACTAGGGATGCACCGATACCGCTTTTTCGGTATCGAGTACGAGTACTGATACTTTGCTTTCGGTACTCACTGATACCGGTGCATTTGCTGGCATGGTACGAGTACTCGCCCAATTACTCGGTATTGGCACCGATACTAGTTTCGGTATCGGTGCATCCCTAGTACAAACAACCCATAGCTTACCGATGCTTTTTAACAGCTTGGTCAAATCCAAGAGACACACAAGATCCAGATATGGTTTTGTATCCTTGCTGCTCTGACATTCCAAGATTGGCAATAATTAAAGACATTTTCTGAAAATCACTGAAACAGAAAATAAAGTACATTATTTTGTGCATGTGGAATATGTAACATCTGCATAAACTCAAAAAAGGTGAGTGGAAGGAAAAAAGTGGAGAATGTGAACTATATTGCAATCATTGAAGACTGGGATTTGCCACTTGCTATATCTAAGTTACACTGCCAGTACTAGAACACTGCATTCCTGAGCCTGGCACACACTGGCTTAGCGGCTCCATCTGGCATGGAGTGAGAAGGACCCACATGCAGGGGGCAAAGAGCGGCTCATTTTTGAGGAACTCTGCTCTATGCCATTAGAAACTTTTTGATTAGATTGTGGTTTTTTTTAAAAACAGAGGCACCCATTTGAAATCCATGTTTCTATATAATGATGTAATATAAGATCTGCATTTATTACTTTTATTAGACTATACAGTCTGCATTGGTACATCATAACATTAAATAGACCATATATACAGTCTGTATAGGAGAAGAGTTCAGGATTCCTTTGTAATACACATGGTAAAGGAGTGAAGAAATTCAGCTAAACAAAAGATTATTCACACTGTTTTGATAGTCGAGTCAGAAGATCAGAGCCGACAACTTAATAGTTGACATGTGAAGTACATCTTTTCCTACTTGTGTTTTTTTAAAGCAGTCCTTGTCTCAAATATATCACATTTCTTTTCATTTTAAAAAGTAACCTCTGCCGAAGAAGTATGGAGGCTGCTGTTGCTAACCTCCCTTTCTAAAAATACTTTTTACCTGATTTAGTAGAGAAATAGGAAGAATGCAGGGGGTGCCACATTCCACTACAGACATTCGTTTTCTGGATCCTCCTCTGCAATTGACTGACAGCAGCTTGTGCACGTTCATGAGAATCATCTCTGAATTGGTGCTGACACTGTCCTTCCTTCTGGAGGGTGGCTACTTTTGTTCCCCATGGTCCCGGTGTGTGTTGTAAAGTTTCCACCCCTCCAAGCTCACTCCGATGATGGACTACAATCTAAATACAAATTAGTAAACTAAACATGAGATTGTAGTCCATCACGGGAGCAAGCTTGGAGTGGTGGCTACTTTACAACACACAGCGACCATGGGGAACAAAAGTAGCCACCCTCCAGAAGGAAGGACAGTGTCAGCACCAATTCAGAGATGATTTGAGGATCTACAGCCGAGTGATAAACAAATTAGATACATTTTTGTTAATAGTTAAGGTACTTGAATGCATTTTTAAGGTTTCCCGAGTTTAGTGTCACTTTAAAGTATTCAAGCCATTGAACTAACTAACATGTAAGTGCATGCATGCTAAGTAATGAGAGGCAGCAGGAAGCTGATGCTACACACCCTGGGAGCTGACAAAGTCCCAGTGGGTGATGACTGGGGAAAAGATGGAAATGCTTTCCTCCTGACTGCAGCAGAATGATAACATCATGCTCCCAAGATACTCCTCTCAGCCTAAACAAAGTCAATCAACTAGAGCTCAAGCACTGCTTTTTATTTAAAAAAAAAAAAAAAGCTATTTTTAGGGAAGGAATTCATGCAGCATTCTATAGTTACTTTTTAGTAATAGCAGGTTTGCTATTACTAACATTACCATCATCTACACAACTCTTATTGTTAGCATTAGAAATGAATGAACAGAACTTGCCTGTCTTGTGGTTTATGTAAAGCATACTCCATGCGATAGGTCGATTCTTTCTCTGTTGTACACTGTGGAGTGACTAGCAAAAATAGAAGACCTGGGTTTGAAAGGCAGGTCTGTAAGTTTTCATGTAGAAATCTCTCCCTGAGGGTCATTGTCTGACTTGTGTTATCTCGAAACTTGTACCATCCAATTACATCCTGTAAAACAGATCAGGAATAAAAGAATAATGACAATTCAGCTTCCTAGCTTAAAAAACATAAAGTGACACTAAACTCAGATTAAATCTTAAAGGATAATTGAACACCCAGGGGTTTTTGGATATATCTACTGCTAGCAAGCAGTAGACATAGGCAAAAATATATAAAAAAAAAAAAAAAAAAAAAAGTTATGAAAAGGGTTTAAAGTTACCTGTGTCTCCGCTGCGCGCTCCCATCTGAAGAAAAATCTCGGGAGGCCACAAAGGATCTTGGGGCGAGCGCATGCGCACTACAGATCTTCAGCCGGGAGACGAGGAGCGACACAAGGTAAGTCAATGCGGGCAGCATGGCAGCGTGCACGCGCACAGACTGTGGGACACAGTAGACTCAGCAGTCAGCGCTGGATCAGAGACCGTCACCTGCTCTGGAGGGACTTCTAAAAACTACAGGAAAGAAGATGATGATCGGATCAAGAGGCATCACTCAAAGGAGAACTATGGGGTCAGCGCTTTTTCCCATAGTTCTCCTAAGGGTAACAGGAGGACACAAACTAGCGTCCTCCCATCACCCAAAGTTCAGTATACCGCGAGCTACAGCTCGCGGTATACTGAGACGCCGCAGCCGGGACGGATCCCGACAATTATTTCTGGATCCACCCAGCTGCGTGAGAAACAGCTGGCTCTGCCTATCTAGAGGCAGAGCCAGCTGTGCCCGGCCCTTCCTCCATCCGTTCCGCCAGTCAAAGGTGGAGGATCGGACAGGGAAGGGGGGAATCCCTGCAGTGAGCCATGAGTGACAGTCACGGCTCTCTGTACGGATATATCAAGAAGTGATCGAGCGACGGTATGTGTTCGCTCACTTCCCGATCTATTGAGCCGACCTGTGACAGTTTCATTGTCACACGCTTCACCGCTCCAAGCTCGCTCCTGTGATGGACTACATTGTCAATACATATTATTAGAAAACTAAACGTGAGATTGTAGTCCATCACGGGAGCAAGCTTGGAGTGGTGGCTACTTTACAACACACACACACAGACCATGGGGAACAAAAAGTAGCCACCCTCCAGAAGGAAGGACAGTGTCAGCACCAATTCAGAGATGATTTGAGGATCTACAGCCAAGAGATACACAAATAAGATACAGTTTTGGTAATAGTTAAAGTACTTGAATGTATTTTTAAATCCTCAGTTTAGGGTAATTTAATGGAGAAGACCACACAGCGATCGCTGCTCCATTAAAAAGGTCGGAGCTCTGCTATTGTAAAACATAGAAAAACGCATTAGATTCTTTAGTGGTATTTGCCTACAAATTAAAATACAATCCCATGATAACTTCCATGCAACACAAGGTATTATGAGTTCATGTTTGGTATTTCCATAAGTACATGATTGTCATTAAAAATATTTAGAGTAAAACTACCATCTGCATTTCCTGATCCTGCTAAGATATTTTTCTAATGGTTCTTGTAGGCCATCAAATCCTCTTTATGCAATACATGTCCCACCCAGAGATGTATATGGAAATTATAACTAGTCAATGTCAATGGTATAGGGTTCCCTAAAGTGTAAAATACCCTATATGCCTATTCACATTGGATTTTTATGGGCAGATATATTTTTTTGCTTTTCTGACACCTAATGGGTGATTTTTAATACACATTCCGAGTCATCCGCATTTTCTCCATTCTTTAAGGGGATATCCAGATTGCAAAAACCCTGACCATATCAACTTTAAAACATTTGCTGATTTTAATTAGTGATTTACTGATTTTACTAATAATTCACCACTGACTACCTATGGAGAAACAAAAAAGGCTATTGATTATTTGTCTACATGAAACTTCATTGGAGGTGTGAAGTAAAGGCAGGTTTTGTCTCTCACCTAAATCGGTTCAGTTTATGTATGATCAGCTTTAGTATTAGGGATACAGGCCTCACCGATGTAAGTGTCTTAACCAAGAACTGAATGTGCTGTCTCATAACAAACAGTTTAAAATTGCAATGGGAAATGACATGTGTAGAATATACGGTAAGTTTCAATCTGGAAAGCTGCTGTGATGGCAATATGGACATTTGATTTTCAGATGTTTTGATAACGAAGCCACATATTAGTAAGCTTCAATTTAGATATTTATAAATCATGAAGTCATCTTAGGGAGGTAAGATTACAAGTCCTAATAAAAAAAAAAAAAAAAAATTCCAATCCACAAACATCATGCATTCACTTACCTTTTCTTGGCCAGACAGCAGCTTTTGTAATGCAGGTTTGTCCACCTCACCAAGGCCATTGTAAAACCTAGCAGATTTATATGCCATTAGACATCGATTTCAGCTACAAGTGATTTCAGCCCAAAATATGTAGGCAACCTGTACTGTTTATAAATTCATATAGCAATGGGGATTTTTTTGGAGCTACTCTCCACCAATGGACCTTAGAAAAGCTTTATCTTTACCAAGTTATATGGGTTTATTTATAAAACGTCCACCCAGTGTAGTCCAACGGCACCAGCCCCCCTAAATGGCGCTGAGTATAGGAATTTCCTATAATCCTCAGTGCCATGTAGGGGCGCCAGTGCCGTGCAAATGGCATCCACACAGCGTATAGTTTTATAAATAAACCTGATAGTGTCTACTAAGCAACATCTAAAAAGCAATATAAAGTTTCAGGAAGCACTCGCACTCGTGGACAGGAAGGTGTCAAGTCTATAGGGATCTTTACTTCAATCAAAAAAATGGAGAGACAAAAAGCAAGTGATGGAACATGCAGTCTTTGTTTTTTATAATGCCCCTCCCTTTTAGGCTGTATACCCTCAGGGGCAGGGCCCTCCTTACCATCTTGTCTTGAATTGTATTGTGATCGTCATGTCTTCCTTAGATTGTAAAGCGCTGCGCAAACTGTTGGCGCTATATAAATCCTGTATAATAATAATATAATCCTGACTGACTGACTTGCTTTCCTGCATAGAGAAGGCAATTAGCTCCAGGTTGCAAAGCTATTTTTCAGCATGTCTGAAAACTTCCTTGTGCAATAATGGCTACATGTGCTGCTCCTCTGTTATACCCTAATAAACCAATGGTCACAAGAGATCAGGGTGTGTATGTCTAGCCATACCATGACCACATCTACAAATACACTAGATTTTTCCACAACCACTTTGAATGACCTTTGTGTTATATGGAACTTAGGCTCTGAGCTGAGTTCAGAGATCTTTTAGTTTCCACCATGCATGTGATTTTGCTGTGGTCACTTACACTAATATATGAAGTCGTCATACAAATAAATATTCCATCCTGTTTCATTTCTAACTAAAGCTAATCATCAGCTGCATCAATAGTTTTAGAGATTATCAGTAAATGAACTCCTCCGGTACACAGGCTTCTACAGCTATAAATCATTTTAATCCCTCTAGCTCAGTGGTGGCAAACCTATGGCACACGTGCCAGAGTGGGCACGTGGGGCCCCCTCTGCTGGCACGCGAGCCCAGGTCCGCATTACCAAAGGGACGCAGCGATAGCGGTCCCAGTCCAATTAATTTTGTTATGCAGTAGTTCCCTCTCTCCCCCGCTGAACTGACAGCAGAAGAGAGGGGACTATTTTACCATTTTAGGCTGGCGCGGAGGAACACGGAGAGCTGCGGCAGCCGACAATTAAGTAGTCAGTCCTTATAGCCCCCCCAGAGAGCCACACAGCCCACCAGAGAGCCACACAGCCCACCAGAGAGCCACACAGCCCACCAGAGAGCCCATACATACCACCAGAGGGACAACAGAGCCCACCCAAAAGCCATTTAAGACCGTCTGAGAGCCGCACAGCCCGCTGAGAGCCCGCACAGATCACCTCAGAACTGCAGAGCCCCCTGAGAGTATTCAGGTCTAATTGAAGGGTTGGCACTTTGAGATACATAAGTTGGTTTAGTGATCCAGTTTGGGCACTCCGGCTCAAAAAGGTTCGCCATCACTGCTCTAGCTGATCATCAAACTACATCAGCTGTACTGGAGACTACCTATCGTCCATGAGCTAATGGTTGAGAACTCGGCCGTTAGAGGATTTGTAAATGAGAGAAATTCCTAATTACAAACCTGAATAGCTGATAACAGGGAACGTGCCTTTGAATATCTGTAAGATAAAAATATACAGTTGTTTCATCAGAGGGTATGAACACAAATAGCTGTTAACCTAATAGTATAGCTGTACCATGTGTGTGATTTCATAGTGCCCACAAAGTTTATTGTACTTTGTGGAGGGAGTATTTCATTTCCAACACCTAAAGCAGAACTGAAGGTAGATTTACAGAACAGACCTTGGAAGTCCTTCATGACCAGCCAATGAATGAGACTAGCTGAAGATGAATATCGGGGAGAAGATGGCAGTGGTAACGGCAAAGCGACAAGAGGGAATACATACCTGTAATCGCTGGAGGAGGAAAGTCTATAATAATGTGCTGTGTGTACATTAATAAGTATGCTAAGTGTTTATTCACACAATATCGCAAGGTCACTTCCACTCAAGAAGTCTTACCGATTGTATAAACTACTTCGACATCACTCATTTGGGAGTCCGTGATGCAATCTTTTGCTTCCCCTTTCACATCTCCAAAAATAAATCCTTCCTTTATAATCAAGAGGAAAAATAAATACATCAGAAAGTCATTTTAAATGAATATTCAAGAACACATTTTATAACATGAATAGAATATATTAAAACGTGTTTTACAGCAGAAAAGAAGACAAGTGTGAATGAGCCCTAGGAGTTTAATGGGTTTAAGTGGAAAACTTCAAAGTGTAATGTATGCTTGTGAAGGTTCCCAAATGACTAGGTCATGCTATAGCTAGTGGTAGTCACATTCAACTGGATTACTGCTGAAGATGTCATACAGCTCATCCAAGCCTCTTCTTTGCTTTGAATTAAAGTATAATAACAACTTGACGACCAGACTGTATATACCCCATTATTACTAGGCCATTTTTCAGTGCTGATAGTTTGACTGACAATCAGTCATGGAACAACGTACCCCTATTTTTTTTAACCATTTTTTGAGACAGAGCTGTCTTTATAACACTTTAACCACTGGGTGACACTGAGGCTAGGTTCACACCAGATGCAGTGCGTTCCGGCCCGAATTGAAGTGAATTGAAGTGAATGGCACCGTAGCCGCGTCCTCAGGCCGCAAGGCACCTTGTGCCTGCGGTCCGGTGCGATCAAAATGCTGCAAGCACTATTTTGATCGCACCGGACCGCAGGCACAATGTGCCTTGCGATCCCGTGCGGCCGATCAACTATTCACTTCAATGACCCGCCACGCCCACTTCTGCCCCACAAAAAAGTGAGCCGGCCCCAATACGATGCAGTGCGTTCTGGCCAGAATCGGGCCTGAATGCACTGCATCTGGTGTGAACTTAGCCTAAACTCAGGAGTTACATTTTAAAAATACATTCAAGTACCTGAACTATTAAAAAACAATGCATCTTATTTGTGTATGACTCTGTAGATCCTCAAATCATCTCTGAATTGGTGCTGACACTGTCCTTCCTTCTGGAGGGTGGCTACTTTTGTTCCCCATGGTTCCTGTGTGTGTTGAAAAGTAGCCACCGCCCTAAGCTCAGTCAATGATGGACTACAATCTCAATGCAAACTAGTATCTAACCCGGAGATTGTAGTCCATCACAGGAGTGATCTTGGAGCGGTGGCTACTTTACAACACACACAGGAACCATGGGGAACAAATGCAGCCACCCTCCAGAAGGAAGGACAGTGTCAGCACCAATTCAGAGATGATTTGAGGATCTACAGCTGAGTGATACAGAAATAAGATACATTAGTGTTGATAGTTAAGGTACTTGAATGCATTTTTAAGATCTATCTCCTGAGATTAGTGTCATTCTTTACAATTTAAAGCGTACTTTTAACCCAATGCCATGTCCCTGTCTGTCTATATAACCCCATGCCATTTCCCTGCCCGTCTGTATACCCCATGCCATGTCCCTGTCTGTATAACCCCATGCCATGTCCCTACCTGTCTATATAACCCCATGTCATGTCCCTACCTGTCTGTATAACCCCATGCTGTGTCCCTGCCTGTCTCTATAATCCCATGCCATGTCCCTACCCGTCTGTATAACCCCATGCCGTGTCCCTGCCTATCTATATAATCCCATGCCATGTACCTGCCCGTATATATGACCCCATGCCATTTCCCTGCCTGTCTGTATAACCCCATGCCATGTCCCTGTCTGTATAACCCCATGCCATGTCCCTGTCTGTATAACCCCATGCCATGTCCCTACCTGTCTGTATAACCCCATGCCATGTCCCTACCTGTCTGTATAACCCCATGCCATGTCCCTACCTGTCTGTATAACCCCATGCCGTGTCCCTGCCTGTCTCTATCACATGCCATGTCCCTACATGTCTATATAACCCCATGCCATGTCCCTGCCCGTATATATAACCCCATGTCGTGTCCCTACCTGTCTATATAACCCCATGCCATGTCCCTACCTGTCTGTATAACCCCATGCCATGTCCCTGTCTATATAACCTCATGCCATGTCCCTGCTTGTCTATATAACCCCATGCCATGTCCCTACCTGTCTATATAACACCATGCCATGTCCCTGCCTGTCTATATAACCCCATGCCATGTCCCTGCCTGTCTATATAACCCTATTAGTGTTGATAGTTAAGGTACTTGAATGCATTTTTAAGATCTATCTCCTGAGATTAGTGTCATTCTTTACAATTTAAAGCGTACTTTTAACCCAATGCCATGTCCCTGTCTGTCTATATAACCCCATGCCATTTCCCTGCCCGTCTGTATACCCCATGCCATGTCCCTGTCTGTATAACCCCATGCCATGTCCCTACCTGTCTATATAACCCCATGTCATGTCCCTACCTGTCTGTATAACCCCATGCTGTGTCCCTGCCTGTCTCTATAATCCCATGCCATGTCCCTACCCGTCTGTATAACCCCATGCCGTGTCCCTGCCTATCTATATAATCCCATGCCATGTACCTGCCCGTATATATGACCCCATGCCATTTCCCTGCCTGTCTGTATAACCCCATGCCATGTCCCTGTCTGTATAACCCCATGCCATGTCCCTGTCTGTATAACCCCATGCCATGTCCCTGTCTGTATAACCCCATGCCATGTCCCTACCTGTCTGTATAACCCCATGCCATGTCCCTACCTGTCTGTATAACCCCATGCCATGTCCCTACCTGTCTGTATAACCCCATGCCGTGTCCCTGCCTGTCTCTATCACATGCCATGTCCCTACATGTCTATATAACCCCATGCCATGTCCCTGCCCGTATATATAACCCCATGTCGTGTCCCTACCTGTCTATATAACCCCATGCCATGTCCCTACCTGTCTGTATAACCCCATGCCATGTCCCTGTCTATATAACCTCATGCCATGTCCCTGCTTGTCTATATAACCCCATGCCATGTCCCTACCTGTCTATATAACACCATGCCATGTCCCTGCCTGTCTATATAACCCCATGCCATGTCCCTGCCTGTCTATATAATCCCATGCCATGTCCCTGCCTGTCTATATAATCCCATGCCATGTCCCTACCTGTCTATATAACCCCATGCCATGTCCCTGCCTGTCTATATAACCTCATGCCCTGTCCCTGCCTGTCTATATAACCTCATGCCATGTCCCTGCCTGTCTATATAACCCCATGCCATGTCCCTGCCTGTCCATATAACTCCATGCCATGTCACTACCTGTCTATATAACCCCATGCCATGTCCCTGCCTGTCTATATAACCTCATGCCATGTCCCTGCCTGGGTCTGCAGATCACTAGGGCTGATATATAAAACCGTGTAGCAGTCATGTACTTTATATTCCTTACTCACCGAGTCTGAGCCGGAGTTCACATGGTGGAAAGTGAGGGCGCTAAAAACAAACCCAGACATGAGTGCCCGTGTGCTCTCCCTTGCCATGGTGCCCGGGCTCCCCCTTCTATGTGCCCCTCCTCACACACGCTGTGTACTACAATGCCCCTTCCCCAGCACAGCGGGCCGACAGAGAGACAATGGACACAGTGTAACAGGAAGTATCGGAGGGGAGTCCCCATAGTGTGAGGGGAAGGCGGGCAGACCTGTACATACAAATCTTTTTACCGAGCTGCAGAGACCCCTAGTGGCCAAACTATGTATAGACCAGTGTATGTGTGGGTGATAGAGTGCTGAGGAGAATGGCTGGAGAATCACTGATATGGTCACTTGTAACATCATAGAAAGGAATAGCATCCTCCTGACCATTTCTTATGGAGAACCATTGTCTGGTGCTGAAAGTCAAAGAGGGGAATTTATCAAAACTGGAGCAGACATATTCTGGAGCAGTTACCCATGGCAACCAATCATTTTCAAAGCTTAACTGAACAATTGAAGAGAGAAGCTGGTTGGTTGCCATGGGCAACTGCTCTAGATTCTGTCTGCTCCAGTTTTGATCAATTCCCCTGAATGTGTTTTCAAACAGTCATCACATAACACTGAGAGCCCATTCACACCACAATGATTACAAAGAATAATATTCAGCTCCTATGGGACAACAGTTAGGGTACGTTCACACCAGATGCAGTGCGTTCTGGCCTGATTCTGACCAGAACGCACTGCTTCGCATTGCGGCTGGCTTGCTTTTTTTGTGTATAGATACATATATCTTATATGCTCCCCCACTGTGTGAGTACAAAGTAGGGTGACCATGCATCTCGAGGACAGTCATCCAGTTAAAGGAGTCTACCCAGTTAAAAAGTGCCCCTCCCTGGGACCCGTGTGGTTATGTGTGTACTCAGGATCTTACCGGAATTTATACGGCAATGCCGAATTTTCTGTTAGATTACTGGCTCATTACCGTCTTTGTCAAACCTCCGGCCTGTTTGTAAACATTACATGATGTCATGGTTTTCTTGATTTGCATTCTATGGTGGTGATGAGTTCCTACCAGGTATAATCGATCCGTTGATGGGAACACGATTTTGTTTACTGTACTCCTGGCCGAATTTCCTCGATCGGTCAGGCTGGAAAACTTATTTCCAATCGTACATAACTCGAACAAGGGTTCAATGACGACACGAAAGAAATCGAACAATAATCAATAAGTGTCTCGGCACCTTAAGTCTGGCTTCACTCCAATGAGTTTAGGTTACACACAATACTATGTGCATTTTGTTGTGGTGCCATTTATTTAGAATGGTCCTAATGCATTCAAATGCAGTTAGAGAGCCCCAAAAATAGTGACGAGGGGGCATGGAGCGGGCTTCCAGGCCAATCAGGAAGCTGAGTGGCAAGTCATTACCCGCCACCCGGCTTCCTGATTGACGAGAAAGCCGGCTCCATGCTCCCTCATCACCTGGTGACCAGGGAGCATGGAGACGGCTTTTTGGCTAAACGGGAAGCCCGGTAGCTAGTCATTACACGACGCCCGGCTTCCCAGCTAATCAGGAAGCTGGGTGGCGATTCATTACATGCCGCCCGTCTTCCTTAATGGGACTTGTGGTATTGGCATTCGGTATCGGCGAGTACCGGAGAAAAATATCAGTACTCGATACCGAAAAAACGGTATCAGTGCATCCCTACTTTTTGCCTTGTCTTTGCGTTGGGACTGTGCAGCCAAACTCAGCTGGTGTGAACAGGTCCTTTGTTTGAGAAAAATATCCATTTTCCATTTTACTCCTTCCTGCGGTTGAAAACGATTGTTGTTGATTTGTCCCCGTTAACTATTAGAAAATCCAATGAAAGTTCTGAAAACAATTTTTCTTGTATGGAACTCAAATGGTATGGCCAGTAGTTACAGGCTATGGACTGTCCCTAGGGTTGCCACCTGTCCAGAATTCACCTGGACAGTTCGGGTTTTGAATGCTGTGTCCGGGTTTCAAGGCAGCTGAAACCCGGACACGAGATGTCAGGCAGACAGGGGCAACCAAAATTGGGATAGGGGCTACTGGCCCCCCCACTGAAAATAGTGTCAACTGTGATATTTACATATTAATGGGTGATTCTATTTACATACGAATAAGCCGCAGCTCATTCTCCCAAAAACATTTCTGTGCGTCACTAGAGCGTTCGGGTTTCGATGGAAGAAAAGGTGGCAACCCTAACTGTCCCTCGGCATACTCATGTCTAATGCACATCAATGGATCTGCATTAAGCGTGATGATGTCAGTGTCCATAGACCACCGGAGCCTTGGAGACTGGTATAGCAGCCCAGTGATACCGAGGTCCAGATGAGTATATTTTTAAAGACAAAATGAGCACTTAACCCTTGCAGTGTGGGGGTAGCTACACTGAAAGGGTATTTTTTTTTATTTTCTCAGAGTGTTTCTTTAATATTCCTTTGGTATCTGTGATCATTATACTTAAACCTATTTTGATGTAATGTCCTAGAATACCTCCAACCTCCCTGAGGAAGCACATACAGTTGCGAAACGCGTCGGAGATTGGGCCCACAGTGGATCATACAACTATTACAGAAATCAGGACTCAAGGAGTCCATGTTATATTAATGAATTATATATATATATGTACACATGTATGGGCACCAAAAGGAGGTAGCTTGATTTCAATGTAACATTGTATCATGTCAATGACATTTTAATTGTAACCAAGTCTTTATGTATTAAATATACGTTTATACAAAACCATGTATGTTTGATGGACGTTCTGTATGGTTCGGACACTTTTAAAGCCCCGCTTTTCTTTATCTCTCTTGTATGTTTCTTTAATATCCTGCATTAAGTCCCTTTCCACACCTAGGTGTACGGCGTTCGTGTGTGTTCAGGTGCGTTTGTTCCTGCGCTTGCTCCATGTCGCCCATTGATTTTTTAGTTTAATCCATTTTTATTGTTTTTAGAAAAGAAAATATAACTGTTTTTTGCAGATGTAAACATCATATACAATGGTATAAAAGCTGTACATAAAGCCCAATAAACAAAAAGACTCATGTACATAACAATCTGTGTTGCGTATGCCGCAAGAAATTGACAGTATACATCAAGACTCGCAACCTATGTCAATCAGTAGTCTAGCATAAACTGTAAAGGGGGTGGTCAAACCACCGTTCAGGGTCTGCCCGAACAGAGATCTTGTGAAAGAGATGCATCGCAAAGAGGAGGGGGTGGGGGGTGAGAGCAGAATGGGTGGCAGGGGTAATCAAGCATAAAGGGGGGTTCAAGAATGAGTGAATCCAAGTGGAAGTTTGGGGGCATATAGGAGACAACCCAAGGTTCCCATATTTTTTCAAGTTTAGGCAACAAATCTGACTGGACAGCCGACATTTTCTCAAGGAAAATGATTTGTGAGACTCTTGGTTTAACTGCTGCAAAGGGGACCGAAGTAGTGCGCCATGAGTGTGCAATCACTCTTCTGGCCTCAGTCAGAATATGAGTGACCAGCTTAAATTGGGTCCATGAGCATGAAACCGGTTTCTTCCCGAGTAGTGCCTCAGTCGGATCCTTGCGAAAGGAACGACCTGTTACAGTATAAATTAGCTGATACACCCGAGACCAAAACCGCCGGATCTTGGGGCACTCCCACCAGATATGTATGAAGGTCCCGTCAGTCTGACATCCTCTAAAGCAGAACGGGGACCTGGAGGGAACTGCACGGGCAATACGCTGAGGGACCAAATACCATCTCAGTAAGAGTTTGTAGTTTGCTTCCACTGCCTGCACACTCGAGGAACTTTTTGCGGTCGTGCACCAGATTTGGGACCATGTGTTCACTCCAATGGGGCCCCCCAATTCCTGTCCCCATTTTGAGGCATAGGGAGGAAGTTCCCTCTGTAGGGAGTCCATCAGGGACGCATATAGGTGGGATATGAGACCTGGGCCCTGGGGATTGCGCATCACTAATTGTTCAAATGGGGTCATAACCGTCAGGTCACGGAGCGGTCCAGTGCGCTGTCTTAAATAGTGTGTAATTTGCATAAACTGAAAAAGATCCCTAGTGGTAAGCTGATGTTTCCTTCGGAGCTCCGAGAATGTTATAATCCCTGCAGCGGTATAAAAATGTCTAGCTTGAACTAGAGAGCGAGCTGTCCATTTGCCAAAGGTTGATGGGCTGTCGTATCCCAGAGGGAAAAGGGGGTTCCCCTGTATAGAGAGAAGGGGAGTATGTGGTGAAATCCACTCCTGGGATACCTTAAGGGCATCCCATAGACGTAGTGTATGTCTAGTGAGTGGGCACGTGACAGTGGTCCTCATCTTGGGGGTAGCCACGGTAGGTTCTTTAAGAATATGGGGTCACATAGATATGCCTCCAAGGAGACTCACAAAGGGACCTCCCTCTCCGAGTGCCATGTAAGGAGGGGGACCATCTGGGCCGCTGCATAATACTTCTGGAAAAGGGGGAGTCCCAGGGTCGCCCATTGATTTTAATGGGTGCCACAAGCACGACAAAGGCAGGAAAGTAGCACATGTAGCCAATTCTGCTAAACGTATCCCGTGTTTATTCCCTGTGCGTATAAAGCACGTCCACGCTTTGGAAAAATCCACATTTTCCTGGCCACGTTTGAGGTGCCATTAACAAGTAATGGCAGTGCAAGCACATTGCATGTTTTTGACATGTTCTGTTTCAAAGTGCACATTTTTTGTGCACGTTTGGTGTGCGTACATGGAACGCGGAGGTGTGAAGGGGACTAACTATATTATGAATATGTGTGCATTTATTATTTTGATTTACTTTACCTTTAAGTGACATAAACTTTGAATTATTAGTTCATTGCAGAAAGACTGTGAATGCTAGTGAACATGATAACAATGTATTGTGTACATGGCACGTTACTCTAATTATGTCACTTCTACATTGCACAACAAAAAGTCTGACACTGGCAAAAGTCTGATCATCTTATTCTCTTCTGTGACAAGGGCAAAGATCCAAAGCATTGGCTCTTGGAGCATAGTTCAGTGGTGCTGTGCTATGATCAGGGAGGAGCAGAGGTGGGGGAGTGACTTGGGAAAGTATAGGAAGTCAGAACTCTTCTCCAGTCCAGAGTAGTTGGAGTTTCTTGCTCTGTCAAAGTCTCAGCCAGCGGAGGAGACTCAGATGTGATAGTCTGCAGCCACAGGCTCCCAGCTGGCCTGAGCCATGGAGGACTTTACAACCCTGGCTTACAATATCTTTACAGTATGGCTCGCTGTGATTATCGTGTTTATAATGTTACCATCCATGTTTGGCATGTCTTTAGGCATCTCGGAGGTTTACCTGAAGATCCTGGTTAAAACCCTAGAGGTAAGGTGTTTGCACAATGTTTGCATTGGCATTGCTTTGTGCAGAGGAAAGCTGACCGCATAGCCTTGCAATCTGAATGTGCAATATCTGTTTAATGTACTTTTAGATCTACGAGGAGAAGTCCTGCTTTAAAGTGTCACTTTAACAATCCACTCAATTTGTTTCTCTTCAGGTTTGCTTTTGTAGTACAGAATCGTTGGGAGATCAAAAGAAGGTTGTTCAACCTGATTGCACGGTGTTGTTCAACCTGATTGCTTGGTGCATGGCTAGCTTCAGGGCTCACCTGCATGTAAACATCTGGGCACTTTGTGGTTTAAACTGTGTTGACAATCCCTTTTTTTGTAATGCTTGATTTCAATTGAGGCAATTGCCAACCAAGGGTTAAACTTCTTGCTAAGGAGGTACATGTGTAATTGCTGAGTTTGTGATCCACTCCCTCCCTGCCCTAAGTTCAAGTCACCATCTGCCTATTGCAACATAGATTGACACTGCACTGATTTAGGGCCTCATTCACACTGACACATTTATACAGTATGTGTTTAGGTGACACATTAAATTCATAACGATTTTCAAACCACTTGCACATGGCAGCAATAGCACAGTACAGCGTTTATCCCAACATATATATCTGTCCAGGAGTGACGGGTGCACCGCCGCACAGCAATGTATAGTCAGGTTGTGCAAATCAATGACAGGCTAGCTGAAGCTGCATACCGTATGTACAGGTATCTATGAAAATCCCTTTGTTTATGTGCATACCGGGACCTACACAGTTTCCTGACCGCAAAGGATCTGCATTTGGGGCAGTGCATAAGTCCCAGTATGTAAAACAGTGGGTATAAATGTACATTTGCATACAGGCCCATATAGCCATGGCTTCAGCCAGCCAGTCATTGATTTGTACAGGCTCTCTGTATGGGACAGCTGTCACTCCCAGCCAGATAATTACACTGGTATATACGCTGTGTGGCTCTCTTGCGGCAATGTGCAAGAAGCTTTGAAGAACAACTGCGGGTGAAAATTTTTATTAACCCTTTCGCGTGGGGGCTTCCCCTTCACTTCAAGGGTTAAGTGCTCATTTTTGCCTTGGGTTAAAAATAGCAATGTTATACTCGCCTGATCCTTGGAGCCGGCCGGCTGTGATAGCGCTCCCTCCAGCCTGTCTCCTCCTCCTTCAGTGATGGTATGCCCCTCTGCATCCTCACGTCCTATACACTGTATAGAATGTGATGACTCAGGGCCCTTAGACCTCTGCAGCTGAGGGGGGAAGGGCTCCAGGGACCAGTCTAAGAGCAAGCCAGCTTGGAAGATCGGGTGAGTATAACTTTTTTTTTTTTACTTTTGAGCCTAGGCAGAAATGAGTACTGAACCTGTGCAGTGGTAGTCTCACTGCAAGGGTTAATAAAATGTTTACCCGGAGTACTGCTTAAATGGTAACATTCAACCTGGGTGTTTACCTGCATTTTGGTGCATTCAGTTTAACTGCATTTAGAGCAGGTTCACACTATTTTCCAGATCTGGTCTGAAAAATGATTTGAACGTGCCTGCAGTTGCAGTACGTTCCAGACAAAATGAGACGTGCAGTATTTTTCTGGTCTGGAGCGGACTGCGCTGGTGTGAACAGAGGCCAGAAATAGCATAGGAATACATTCGGATGCATTTTGGGTCCGGAAACAATCTGGTCTGGAGGTGATCTGGATGTGGTGTGATTGGTCCCTTTTAAAGAAAATAAAATTATTTGCGTCCAGGGTCTGATTAGAAAATGTAAATGCAGGAGAAAGTGTTCTTGGAAGCCTAAAGTTTCTTTTATACTTCCCAGAAAAAGTGTTCTGCATTTAAATACCCTATATGCAGGAGTGCTAGTTTGAATGTAGCCTTAAGGTGCCCATACACCTTGCGATTATCGTACAATAATCGCTGGAAATCCCGCGATGCGTACGATAATCGCAAGGTGTATGGAAGGCGTGCGACCTCTGCTACTGTAAGGTCGCACGACTTTTGTCTTACAAGCATGTTCGAAAACCCGCTGAGAATCGTACGATTGTCGGCGGGTTTGTGGCATGCTCGTAAGACAAATGCCGAATGGGCCGGTGTGCGCAAGCGCACACTGCCCGTTCAGCATTGCAGTCATCGGAAGCCCGCCGCTCAGCGGGGCGGGCTTGCGACGATCGCAAGTATGATCTGCCTGTATAAGATGGGCAGATCGTACGCTTCTTTTAAATTACCTTACAGCCATCGCAAGACAAAAGTCTTGCGATGGTTGTAAGGTAAGGTCTATGGCCAGCTTTACAGTTTTAGTTTGGCCCCCTCGATCAAATGACGTGTTTTGTTTTCTCAGCGACACTAGCTATGCAAGGAACAAACCCAAACATAACCTGTTTCAGTTGCTTACAATACCAATTGCTGTTTATTTGCTGACTATAACCTAGAATTGAATAAATAAACCATAGCACATGGCATGTACACTAGTCTCTGCTTACAAACACTCCCTTTTGACAGAAATCACAGCCTCCACACATTTCTTGCAGACTGCTGACAGTCACTTTCACTGTTCTTGCAGTTGGAAATGTTCCCATTTTTTTTTCTTGGCAAATGTCTCTAGTTCAGAAATGTTCTATGCACTGTTGGTTGCAGGTCTGCCCACAGATTTTCAATTAAACATGGTTGATTTTGAGTTTTGGCTTTGTGACATTGGGGTGCCGGTACAGAGGCATGAAAACAGAAGCTTTGTGTTTGCTCTGTTTTGCTGCCTTTAAAACAGTCTGCACACCTACAGTTGCTTTTGCCATAAGCGGAGGTTACTGCAGGGCTCAAAGCTTGTCGGCACAGGGCTGCTTATCGGTGGACCCTTAAGCCCGTGACACACTGCACGCAAACCCATGCAGAGCGACGCAAAGCTTTCCGGCACAGAGCTTTGCGTGCAGTGTATGAACTGAGTGCAGGCAGATGATTGACTGCACCTTCAGCCAATCGGCTCGTGCGTAATAACCGGCCAGACATCGCATCCTGACGCGCAGGTTTATACGAGCGAGCCGATTGACTGAAGATTACAGCTCTCGCAAGCTGACGTGCCGGGGAGAAAAATTACATGACACACTGCTCGGGGAAGCAGCGTGTCACCGTTCCGCGCTGCTTTGAGTGAAGTGTGTCACAACCCTGGTGCCCATACACTCTTCGATTTTCATTTGGAAATCTTCCACAGATGGTCTTTCTTTCTTCTTCTTTTTTTTTTTTTTTAACTGTAATCCTGCTTGAATTTTCTCGAAGGGTGAGGCTGAAACTTTTTTCGAATCGAATGAAAATGGATGGATTATTGGCGTTTTTGTACGAAATAAATCACAGCGAAAACAGGTTCTGTCGATGGACGAACTTCGGTATGTTTGGTTATTGCTATTGAGCGATTTATCAAAATCGACATTTGTCTGTGCTTGATAGCAGAGCCGTAGCCAGCTCCTTTTGCGTCCGAGGCAAGAACAGAACATTGTGCTACCCCAACCGACGTGTGATGTCACCCGACGCTGTGCACGCGTGGTGTCACAATCCCGCCTCCAGGATTTTGGCGTGCATGCGCAGAATGCCCTGGTGGCCAAATCCAAAATAGCAGGAAAATGTGCTTTGTTTGACAAAACTAATGAAAATGTTCGTAGTTTCCATTCATTTAATCCAAAACAAATTTTTAGTCTTTGCACATGTCTAATAATACAGTATGTGTGCATGAGTGTGTGTTTTTTTTATTTTTTTTGTACTGTTGGGCGACTTTGGAGAAATATCAGGATCTAAACAGACCCCTGACATTTCCCTTTTTGAAATAGAAAAATACATTCTATTTAGCAGAGTTCAACATTATAAGTGAGGATGCCGAGAGCCTGTAGCGTAAGAGGGAAGAAAAGTGTCGCCTGCTGGGGGGAGCAAGGGGTAAGGTGAGAAAAACTGCTTTTTATTTCTTCCTTGCACTGCAGGGGAAGCACCACTGCAATGGTAGTTTTGAATTTTCCCCAGAGTTCTCATCTTCCCACAGAATCACTTCACCATTGTGCTGCATCTAATTACTATTTATTCAGTTTGTTTTTCCATATTCAGTTGTATATTTAACCTTATTTCCTACTTAGTCGTAGTAAGTATGGGGCATGTAAAAGGTTGTAAACAGAATGGTGTGGTCACTTTTCTGGTATGTTTTTATATCATGGATTTGCAGTTTTAAATGATCCTTATTTGTATTTTTATTTTCAGTGGGCCACATTGCGCATTCAGAGAGGGTTTCAAGAGCGTATGAAACGTCAAATTAGTGCATCCAATGGTAAGAATGAATGCACTTCCTCTGTCATCTGAACAGACTTGCATATAAATAATGTCACTCACTTTGGATAAGTATGCAGCCAGAGAAGTCGGAAAGCTTAAAAATGCATTTACAGTATCTCACAGAAGTGAGTACACCCCTCAGATTTTTGTAAATATTTTATGATATCATTTCATGTGACGAAACAGAAGAAATGACACTTTGCTACAATGTAAAGTAGTGAGTGTACAGCTTGTATATCAGTGTACATTTGCTGTCCCCTCAAAATAACTCAACACACAGCCATTAATGTCTAAACCACTGGCAACGAAAGTGAGTACACCCCTAAGTGAAAATGTCCAAATTGGGCCCAGAAGTGTCAATATTTTGTGTGGCCACCATTATTTTCCAGCACAACCTTAACCCTCTTGGGCATGGAGTTCACCAGAGCTTCACAGGTTGCCACTGGAGTCCTCTTCCACTCCTCCATGACGACATCACGGACCCGGTGGATGTTAGAGAGCTTGCGCTCCTCCACCTTCCGTCGGGTGGTGACCGCATGGACATGCAGCATGCTGAGCACAAGGCACCACACCCCATAAAACTACATGCACAATATATACTAGGGAAACTGGGCTCTTCTTCTTCTTTTTTTTTTTTTTTTTTAAACATTTTTATTCAAAGAATTTTTGGATGGTTAAATATACAGTATTAACTACAATATAATCATACAATTATATAAATACATTCCTAAAAGGCACTATAAATGCATAAGACATCTTTAGAACAAAAATAACTAACACGAAAACGTATTCCATAAATGTTAAAATAGCATAAAAAATTGCAAGTGCTACACTACGGCTCCATAGTGTAACTTCAGTGACATTCAGTAGAAAGTCCAAGACTTATAGATAGCACTCTCTGCTGTATGACAGATAAACGTAGATTCTATTTTCCTCTTCCAAGTGCATTCCAGAGTCCAATTTATCTAGATGAAGCAATTATAGAAGGTCCTCTTTTAGCCTATGGACAGTAAGGGGGTGGGGAGAAAGCCACTCTCTCAATGCCACGTCTAGCTGCCAAAAGGGAGATGCATATCCATTGCTTGTTTAAATTCGATAAGTTTAATGGATGAGGTTATAGTGGTATCCCAATAATTGAATAATACAACAAGGCATTAAAGGGGATCTGCTGACCTATGGTGGATGCCACATACTCGAGGAGTGTCCAATAGCTTTAAATGGAGGGACAGGACCATAGACAATTAAATAAATAAGCGGCCTCCATTTTACATTTAGAGCCGTGGTCAAGGAAATTAGAATCTCGACTGTGCTTGTGCGCTTTTTGGAAGGCAAAATATGCTCTGTGAATGATTTTGAATTGCGTCTCTGTTCATTTACAAATTGAGTGGTAGCCCTTCAGTATTTTCTGGACTACTTCATCTGTGGGAATGTCACCATGCCATTTAGAGAGGTTGGAATGTTCCAAGGAGGGAATAGTGACATGTCCCAGGTGAGGATATATGTCTGAAATGAACACTTTATTGGCAGAGACCATCCTGTTTATGGGAGAAATGGCCGAGCGCAGAGCAAGGGAAGGGTTTAGTTTTTTAATGTGAGCGATCACTTGTGAAAAGTGTAGAAAGTCTGTATCGGGAACCTTATATAAGTCCCTGAATTCAGGGAAGGTTAGTAACTTTTGGCAATCTTTAGATATGAAATGTATGAAGAGGGAGATCCCCCCTGCTGTTCCCAACGGGAGAAGTTTTGTATAGTCCTCACCCTGTGGAACGAGGGATTGCCTTTTAAGAGTTGGATCTCTGGGAAAAATAGGGGTTAATTTTCAAGCACTTGTGAACTTCCCTCCAAGCCACTACAGTATCCCGTATTAAAATGTGAGATTGAATCATAGGAGGTAATGTGGAAAAGGGGCAATGTAAAAGGGCAGGGAGTCTCCAGGGATATACCATTTCAGATTCCACCAAGAAATTGGAGTAATGGGAAGAAGAGTTGATCCAATCCAGGGAATGTCTAAGGAGACAGCTTAAATTGTACAAATTAACATTTAGGAAGGCCATACCGCCTTTGTTTTTAGGCAGAAAGAGTTTCTTTAAAGATATTCTTGCATTCTTCCCTTGACAGATAAAAGCAAGAAAATCATTAAGGGTCTGGGTATCTTTATGTTTTAAGAGTATGGGCAGTGTCTGCATAGGATACAAAAGTCTTGCGAATGGTATCATTTTAACCAGATGTATCCTCCCTAACAAGGACAGAGGAAGATCCTTCCATAGGAGGAATTCCTTAAAAAAATTTTTTGTACATTCATAAACATGATTGTTTATGAATGTACAGTGACTAGGTATAGTAAATCAAGGGAAAGACGAGAGCAGTAAACTGAGAGGGATGGAGTTATAGTGTCCTGTGCCAGTAGGTGATCCATGAGGCCTTAGGGTGATTGTCCATGGTGGAGATCCATACTCATTGCTGAAGAAGAGATGAATCAATGTCTTCCTACCTGGTGTGGAAGGTCGCTGCAGACGGGGGGAGTGATTGCCCTAGTAGGAAGGAGCAGAGGCCATCATCTGGTCCACGAAAGTATACGCTTCCGACGGATCCTAGGAGGATTGTTGAGCCCCATCTACTGATTGGAATTGAAGAGTAGCAGGGTATGCCAATGTAAATCTGATTGTTTTCTGGAAAAGAAGTGAGCAAACCTTGTTGAAAGCCTTGCGTTTTTTTAATAACTTGATGCGAGTAATCTGCGAAGAGAAGACGATTGTTATACAGATCGTTCTTTTTTTTTTTTTGGTGCAAAAGGCCCGGAGAACCGCCAAGCGATCATTTTTATCCACATAACGGACAATTACCAGTCTTGGGGTCTGCCGTTCAGGGTTCGGCAGGTCCACCCGTTCCACCGTGCAGGAAGGATTAAGCCAGAGAAGATTGGGAATATTATGGGCACAAATACTCAGCAATAAAGAGGGACGTTAAGATTCTGGAAGGCTGGTAATCCACGCGTTATTACGGCCGGAGCGATTTTCTCCAGGTCGTCTACCCGAACCAATAGATGTATCTGGTGGTGAGCAGAATCCAACTGGGAGATGGTAGAATAAGCTCCCTCCTCTGAGGAGACGGTGCGGTTTTCTGCCTCCGAAATCCTCTGCGCTTGGTTCAAACGATCGTGTCAAAGGCCATGTATTCCTTTGGACACTGGTTTTATTAACTGCCTCTTGAATCATATGGTGTAGCAGTTTGGTAACTTCCGCAGCGATGAGACCATGTATGGTGGATAACAGCGTTTCTTCCTCTGAGGAGGAGCTCGCATATGGAAGGTCAGGTACAGTGGCCATCTTGGATGGAATCTGAGGTCTTTTGCCTCGTGTTGGAGTACCTTTTACTTTGGGGTTCGTTGCGTTGTTTTGCCAGGAATTTATCCATAAATGCATCTGGAAATCCCGACGGTGTCGGTTAGATCGAAGGGCAAGTGACGATGAGAAGGTTTTTATATGCGGATTAGCCCTGGGAGCACCGGAGCTCTCCTGTCTGCGACCGCTACATCAGTTGCCGGAACCAGAAGTCGAAACTGGGCTTTTAAGGTGACCTGACAAAATTATAATTTTTGTCAGATCACCTTAAAAGCTTTGTTTCCCCAGAGCCTATGTTGTGTATGCATTTCCTAACTTAACTGCCATGCACAATTGAAAAGTACAAGCATGTGTAATGTGGATGCATTCCCTCTCCTGAGTGATTCACATAATTATAGAAAAGGAAAAGTCAAAGGTCATATAGGTGAAGTACTGATTTGTATATTGTGAAATATTTAAATGTTTATTGATTAGATAAGTAGACTGCAGTATCATCACAGTGGACTCTAGAATGCCTGTGGACATCTCTGCAAATGGGAGTGACAAGCAATTTAGCATCACAGAACAGTCGGTCATATCAGATAGGGGACAAGTATGACTTAAAGTTTACTGTTTGGTTACAAAGTCCTCAAACTTCAGTGTACTCAGCCATCCTCTTTAGGTGTGATATTGCAAGGCAGGGTAATGTGATGATCAAACTTTGCAAACAGAATTAACTGCTAAATAACTTCTTCATAGTCTCGAAATGTAATTCCAGTCCACCTTATATTTTTTTTAAGTGGCCACGTTGCTTCTCCAGAGTGGGTCTGAGTATATTTACAAGGATCAAGCAGCCTGGGCATTCCATAGTCACAAGAAATGAAAGCCTTTTCTGATTCAAATATATTGAACTAGCAGGAACCCTACATTTGCACCATAACATTTATACTTCACATTGGCTAAAATTTTTATTATCTTTGTCTATAAACATTCAACTGGCACCAACCCTTCCATTTCAGGATGTATGTGGATTGTAACCTCTGCACCCAGGAAAGATCACAGTGATCAGCCTTGCAAACAAATGAGTCACAAAGTTAGAGATTCCCTCCATTATAAGTATTTGCAGATCAATCACATAGATGGTAACCTGTGGCTACCAGCTGCAGCAGAACTGTATCTTACTTTAGCTGCACTGGGACTTTTAGTATATTCATTATATTAGTATATTCAGTTCCAAGCAGTCCAGATATGTTTTATATATGCTGTACCAAGCATGTCCTAATTTCTTCTGGCTTATAGGGTGACTGATTTACAAACCTAGGGGCAAAGAAAACTGGGACTTTTACCCACAGCAACCAGCCAGATTCGTTTATATTTTTGTTTAAAATTATTTTCATTGGTATTTGTTGGTACACCAAAAAAAATATTCCTCCATGCAGGGAGAGCCATAGGGGTGTACTTAGAATATAAAATGCTAAAACACAGGGAGAGTCATAAGGGTACACCAAGAATAATGAGAAAAACAAATCCTATACAATGAAGAATCAAAAGACAAACCCAAATTATTTTTTTATTTTTTTTTACAGGATTACATAAAAACATTCAGTACATGATTGTTTATGAATGTACAGTGAATAGGTATAGTAAATCAAGGGAAAGACGAGAGCAGTAAACTGAG